CATTCAGCGGTTTGTGCTTTCTTCTTGTAGCTCCGTTACAATTAGTTTGATGAAGCCGAAATGCTTTTTTTTTTTCAGTAAAAATAGAGTTTTACATTCAGTTGACTGTGGCTATGATGTTATGTAACCTCTACAGTACAATGAGTGCAACAACGTTTCTTTGAAAATGGTAAAGTTGTAAGTTTTTATAGCATCTATTTGAAATGTTAACATCTCAAAGCATATCTCACAGCTGTTTCTTAATAGTTTTTTGAGCCTCAAATACAGCAGAGCCATATGATTTTGGACTCATTGTGTATTAAACACAAATGATTTTTGGCTTCATATTGTTTTATCAACTTGTGAAATGTTTCAAGGAGCTGATCCAATGTTTATACTGAGTAAAATGGCTGCCTTGATTTAAATTTGATTGTGTGAACTTTTCATGCCACTCTGAAGCAGAGCCCTGGGGTGATGGGGTCATGCTTCCCCAGCCCACCTGCTACAACCGCTCCACTCATTCTGCCCCAGGGCTGTGTTGTAAAACACATTTTAGCTAATAGATTACATAGAAATGCGAACGAAACGAGATACTAATGGCCGGTTTCCTCCACCTACTCGTGTAAGAGATCGTGTGCCCATCTGTCTGTTGGTTTCTCCTCAGCTGCTGTTCTTTTCAGGGAGGTTTTTTTTTCCTTCACATTTTTGTTCCATATAATTCAATCTATTAAAATCTGAATGTGTTCCCTCCTTAATATAACTAGTTTAATTTCTGTTTTACATTTGAAAGAAAAGAGTCTTTGTCACCTGGCTCTGCTATAATGGTGACAAGAGTATTATTTAGATGAATTAATTTTAGCCAGCAGGTGTTGTCATATAGACTAACCTCATATTAGATTACTTACCCTTCTTATGTGCATTAGTTTGGTTTCTTGAAGTGATTTAACTGCAAACAAAGTTTCTTTGCATTGATTCACTTCGTGATGTTGGATCATCTGTGTTTCAATATGCATGTCTGCATGCCAAAAAGCAGAAGCATGTTTCTTCCCACTTCTGATGAGGAAATAACCTTTTACTTTAGATCTCATAATCTCTACAGCTTCTGCAGCAGAAGGACAGTCTGCAGAGGCCAGGGGAGATTGCTGGTGTGCCTGTGTGTGTAAATTTACTGTATCGTGTGCAGGAGGCTCCCTAGTATGGGGAGAATAAACCCATCTTCCCGTTTCTATGGTAACTCTGTGTCTGCAGAATGGGTGTGATTCAGGCTCTCAGGGTTTAGGCACACACACATTAAGTAGCTGTACAATTAGCCCCCTGTTTAAGCGTTACCGCTAGCGGAAGTTGTGCTTGGGTGGAGGGATGGAAAGGTGGATGGAAACTGGAGATACTGTTCAAAAGCAACACGGGAACTTTACAACCTTTCAACTGCTCTGCATTTCTTCAAAATAAAGCAAAATAAATGTGTATATAGCCTTGCAAATGTAACATTAAATGCAACATGAGCCTTACTTTATACTGTTTGCAGCTTTTGTGTGACCATCAGCTAGAATAATTGGAAATCGTCAGAATTGACATCTTTTTATCAGCAGAGGTGCATTTGTTGCGTCAAAATGTGACATGTTTACAGAGCTGGACTCATGTCACGCAAAACTCCAAACATGACTTGAATGAACACTCTACCCAGTGCTTCATTTATTCAGTCTGTGTAAATATCTCTGTGGGGTGGAATAGGATCCAGTGTTGAAAAGCCTTGAATGATGCTAGAATCAATAACACAGCTATGTTGTGTCAGGATAGGGGGATGGTGTTGAACCGAAAGATGTGGAGGGAGGTGTTAACGGCAGCACTGCAACACTAGAGTGAGAAACGATGGATTTAACACTTGGCTTTTCCGTATTTCAGTTTTATCTATGGTTTTAAATACTTCTCTTCATCACAAAGCTGGGACTTTTTCACAGCCAGCTATCTGACATGGACAGGATTATCTATACAAATCATTGAAGAGACTAATAAAGTGACCAAGCAGGAGACAGTTCTGCAGTGATGGCCTCAATAGAGTGCTAAAGCTTAATCTTAAAGCCTTAATGTGTGCTCACTTGTGTGCCTCAGTGTTTCACATATTGCTACAACATCCTCAGTGTAATGTTATTCCCATTGCTGCCATGTACATTATTTGTATATGTATAAAATCCAAACTATATCTAGATAAGCCAAAGTCTGTATTAGGTCTGTCTGCTTTATTTTTTATTATTTTGACTATTTCTGAGGGCAAATGTTCACTATTATCCATAATAAGTCCAGAACATTTAACTTGGATCATTTTAATTTATAAATTGTTTATTTAATATTTACCAGGTAATGCCAAATACGAGTTTATGTTTTTTTCTTATTTTGTTTATTATCATTCCCAGATCTTTAAAAAAATCTGGAGCCAGTATTGGTAATTTAACCTCTCCATGTGGACTGGATTATAATCCTCAGGTGTTGGCACTGAACATCTTTCAGGCCTCAAATCAGTGTTTCAACTCTGTTAAAACCTACAAAGTCATATTAAGAACACTTCTAGAGGTGAAAGTATACCTTCTAGTGCTCTTTTCCAGTAACAAACTATTTTAATTAGGCTGTGCATTACTGTACATATATAAATTGACAACCTTTGCATTTACTATTTGTCTACCCGACCTTTTTTATTTTAGCCTTGCTCTGACATTGGGAGTTTATGATTTTAGCTATTTGATTTTTTTCTCTTTTGAGTTTACAGACTGTTAATGTTTTTCAGGAATGTGAAAACATGGATTTTTATTTCATTTTAAGCAAACTAAAGGTTTAGTAAACCTTTATTTTCCTTTTAATGTATAAAATTATTTTGCCAGCTGACCAGAAGCGTCCAACATCACATCATTAAAGGGATTTTACATTTTCAAACATTTTGAAACTGGAATTTAAAAAACCTTAATAGTAACCAGTCCATTGCTGATGGGCTTTGTATAAACATGTTAAAATGGTCAGGTTATGATTCCACAGGGTACAGCACATTATCAATTGGTCGTTGGCTTAAATGAAAATGAATTCAATGTTTTAAAATAACCTGATTTTAGAATTTTAAGGTGCTAAACCTCTGTTGTTTTGCAGGATTATCTAACAGGTGCATTTAAAAAAGGGTATCCTCTGCTGACCGCAGAGTCACTGTTGTGTATTTGGTCGGTGACAGAAAGCACAGCTGTCTTCACATCATACTTACTCTGCAAATGCATGCTGCCAGACACAGTGACAGGTGGGAGATTTGATAGGACAGCTGTGTGGATATTATGCTTTTGACAAAATTATTGCTTTATAAGTCTAAAACCAGAACAATGTTACAGGAAATTAGAAACATAATAAAGTTTTGAGCAAAAAGTTAATGTTTTGTCACAACGCATAGTTTTCTTGATTTTTGTGTGTGTGCATGCATGTGTGTGGGAGGACTTCATGGTCAGCGGGCTGTCAGACACACCAACTGTCTCTGTGAGATGAACTGTGGCTCTCTCTGTTTTGATTTCTCTGTCAGAACCTTGTGGCGATCAATCTGTCTTTGTTTTCACACTTGAGGTTTATAACTAGAGCCTGCAAACTGTAGCCCTTATTTCCAAAGTTAACTATTTATTTGTATCATTTGTTTGATTCACAAATAAACTGTTGAAATAAGACTTCAAAGTTTTGAGCTAATAATGGAACTGCAGTTGATTTGTGTTCAATGAGAAATGTAAACCATGAAATATTCAATTTTGTTGACCTTCAAATTGTTTCTGTTTAGAGAAAGCAGACTTTATTGTGAATAAAGCTTTTGTTTTACATTAATTAATTTTCTTCTTTAAGGGTCAAACATTTAATTCAAACATTAAAGACCATTTTTAAGTTATGCAGGTGGTAGGGTTTCCGTGTAACTGAGAGATGATCGGAAATTGCATCTAAATCTGAAATAAAGTCTTATTGGGCAAATATGAGAGCTCATGTTTGCTTGTTGAGCATCAATGCTAAAGTTACATCTTCATGTTTGCTATTTGAACCACAGCCCCCACCGTCTCTGTCATGTGCCTGCATGGTTCTTATGAACTGCAGCTTTTGAGCCCGTCTTGGTTTTGATTGGTCGAATGAAGGGACTCCATAGGTCCCAGCTGTTTCATTCACGCAATCCACATAGTCACTCTCAAAAACTCTTTTGTTGCAGTGCCTACATGTGAACATCAGATTTTCTGTTTCATCATAGCATCCTAACAGGGATTATTGACACTATTGCAGTTAAAACATGTTTATATAAGGTTGTGGTCATGTGTTGGCAGATAGATTGCAACTGACTTTAATGGTTCTCATCCCTGCTAGAAATGTTGTTTATACAATGCAGACATGGTCATTATAAGGCCTGCCGATCATATCCAGTCTTTAGATGATATGCACAGTGCCTAGGTGGACAACAGGATGCAGAAGAATGAAAAATGAGCATAAAATATGTAAGGTTTGCACGCAATAGCAAGCGTAGCCATTATACAAAAATAAAGACTAAATATATTTTAAGGGGTTACAGCTGTTTTTTTTTATGATTAAATGTTTTCACACACTGTTGTTTCAGCCCAGCTGTGGTTAAACAGGGAAATGTAGAATGATGATGCTTCAGCACTATGTGACCTTTTAAGTGAGGGCTTTACAGAATCACCTTATCAATCTATTGACTAGTCGTATTGCAAAGAACCGGAATGGAAATCAGTTGGGTCTTTCCATTTTTTATGATAGTCACTGAATGTCTACATGTGACCTAGTTGATGGACCGAATCATTACCATCACAATCTATGTTCCTTTGGTCTTGATTTTATTTTATTCAACCTCCTTATTGGCTGCAGATGGTAATAAACAAAATCAATATTGACTTAAAATGATGTCCTTAATTACTTTCATGTGAATTTCACAGCTCTGACTACTGAATCATGACCTCTGTCTGTCTGACTGTCTTGATCTAACATCTATGTGTCAATTTTTCTCTCATCAGGAGAGTCTCCAGCAGTTGGTGATGATGCCTTTACCAAACGTCCTGATTCTGGGCCGAAACCCTCTGTCTGGTGAGTAATCCTCTTATATGGAGCACAGCAATGCCATTTCACTGGCAAACTGTTTGGATGGAGCTATGTGGGTTTTATTGGTGTGCTCCAAGGCAATCCTCTGGTTGCCTACATGCTGGTAGTTGATGTGTTTTTGCAAGTCACTATGAGGGTGACATGATATTTAAGTAGTCTTTTCGTCTCTCCATTAAAATAAAGTACAAATCTTCTTTTAATGATTTTGTACTTGGTTTTTGTCTTTCTTGTTTAGTAGATAATTTCCTGACATGGTTATTTATATCTCTGTCTCCATATGCTCCTTGATGAGCTAATAATTCAGAAATTATACAAGTAAGAGTTTGAAAATCTGGAATGAATAATCAGTATTAGATAAAAGAAAGTCAAAATGGATTATTCTGCTGTTGAGGTAACAGAAAACTGTTTTGTGGGTTGGTGATAGACTACCTTTGTCAGTATGTCCTTACTCCAGGGCCAGATCTGTGAAGCGCTATAGTGTTAAATCATCTGAACATATCGTAGCACGCCTTTTTGACCCTCCGCTTAGCCACGCTATTTGATACGTCTGTGTGGCATTAGGGCAATGATGCTGTGTCAAATGCTGAGTGTCATTAAACCATCTTTGAACACTTTGACCTGCAGCCTTTCTGACACCTGATATCTCAAAATGAAACCTTTGAGAAGAACAAAAGTAAAAGCAGGTGGTCAGTGGAGTTTATAATAAACCAGGTTTATTAAATAAAAGGAGAGTGATATGTTGAAAATGTGTGTTTACCAGCTGGAATCACTCTCAGCAGATGGTTTGTTGCCCTTTGAGTTCATCAGTTTATCATCAGTCCTATAAAGGGAGTTTCAGACTTTGATGAAAGAAGCCTTTGGCTTTTTAAGCTAATTAAATGGCTTCTTAATCCATCAGCTAGCTCCATCACATGTTGTTTTTGGATTTTCAACACCCTTTTGTTGCCGTAGTTGCCTCTTTGATTTTCATTCACCCCCCTTCAGCACTAAAGGTGTATAGGTAAAAAGGTTAAAGGGACTAAACACACACTGCTTTGCACTAATCTAGAATACACATATGATGTTGTTTTTTTATTTTACAGTTTTTATTATGTTTCAAAGTACTATTTCAGGATAGTTATCTGAGCAGTATATCCAATAGCTTTTAAGACTTACTGAATCTTGCTTATGGATTTACAATCCATTTACAATTTATGCTTTAAAATACTACTCTAGTAAAAGGAACTACTGAGAATATACAAAGGTATGTTGATGTTCACCCCTACAAAGAGTACCCCTTTCCAGATGGCTGAAAAACCCATTTAAACCCGGGAACAATTGGCTTTTAGTGGCAGTGGGAACGGCTCACGGCGCGTGTTTACCCGGGTCAAACGACTCAGCAAGCGACCCGCGTTAAAATTGCCTCGGCTCTGATTGGCATACAGTTGGAACACCTGACCCAGGTTGACCCAGTAAATTACGTGACACCATTGAATGCGACTTATGGATTTCGGTACACCGCGCCAGACGCTTCTAATCTTTCAAGCTAAACAACTCTGTTTACATTTGATAAATATAGCACAGTGTTGGTAAGGGATTTGGACGCATAATAGAGTGAAACAATATAGAATACTGACTACGCGTTGGCTCCTGTCCATGTTGCTCTCCATTATTTATTTCCCTTATTTCCGTCGCACTGTCGACATCATCAAAGCTCACCCAGCGTGATGCCGTCGTCAGACTTGCAGCAGTCACGCAGTGGTGGGGGACAGTGGCTACAGAGCTTGCCGGCAGAGGGTCAGACTCAGGTTTTTGGTCAAATGGGAAAAGAGGCAAAGCCTATTGTTAGCGTGTCAGGTTTTGAAAAACCTGGGTTGTCAGTGGGAAAGTTTAAGAGAATGTTTTGTCTGTTTCATTTGGCATCAGCCTTTGGGTAAGGGACGCTTACTAAATGATTTCACTGAACAGAAGAGTATCTGCTTATCTTTATATTGGTAGCAATTGATTTCACCCAACCATCCCCTTTGTTCAGACCCCATCTATACTGGCTGTTCATTGAGCACTTCAGTGTTGTCATGAGTCTTAGTTAGAAGCTGACAAATGTAGTCCTCTTTCCGTGTAAACCCATGGTTCATTTCTCTCTTAAGTTCTCCTGCATCCAAAAGTAAATACCTGGCAACAGCAGGCATTTGAATAAGGCTTTCAGGCTACACTGATAGTCACACCATATATAAAGCATCTCAGAGTTGATATGGAATTGGCATATGACCACCTGGTTAAAAACTGGGACCGTCAAGGAGAGTCCCGATTACAGTCTAAAATTTTTACCCGACATGGGAAGTTTAGCAGAAGTAGTGACGAGTTTCTACAGGCTTACACAAAGCTGCAGAGTTAAAGTCAAGCCAAGATAACCAACTGTGCATAAAGCCTTTGGTGAGGTGGACAGGAGCAGACAGAAAGCATTCGATTTCTGAAAGAGTCGCGTGTGCTTTACCTATATCCCGTCATATAATCAGTCAGCAGCCCAGTCAGACCAGCAGCAAGTAAGGAGGGAGGTTTGATGGCTGCCAGCTGAAAGTCATCCGCCATGTGGCTTTTATTATGATCCCACATGGGGGCAGGGGACAGCGCTGAATGTGTCTGGGCACATGCGTGTGTGCGTTTGGCTGGTGATTGGGGGAGGGGTGACTTCACAACAGTGAACAGTGGGAATGCACTGTATTACCCTCCTTACCCCCCAGGCTTTGGGCTAACCTCTCTGCCTTCCATAAATACGCACAGAGAGACAGACTCTCTGAGTGCTTGCTAGTTGTAAACTTGAATATCCGGTGTAAAAAGATCCATATTTAATGTAGATAAATAATAATAGCTATCTAGAAACCATTTAACAGAACAGAGAAAATTAGTCATTTAAAGTGAAAAGTAATTGGGCAAAAACGACTTACTGGGTCTTGGTAACCTTTTTGGCTTTAGCACATACACAGAATAGAAAAAGATTATTAGAATTAATTGAAAGTCTCTAATAAACATTACTTTGAAGTTAATGCTCCTTCTGTTCTCATTGGATGATGCTACTTGAGGTTATGTAGATGTTCTCTATGGCAAACATGGGCTTCAGGCCTTTTTTGATGACTAAATCTAATCTTCCAAAGTTTCTCTAAAATTACCCAAACTAGTTTTTTCGTTTTTGAGACATGGTGAGTATGTTGAACAGCTTGATCCCTTACAGGGAGGTAATTGTGTTCTAAATGACTGTCATTTCGAGACAAATGAGGCTGTAGCAATAGATTATACATGCCCATAAACACTTACATTCTCGAAGACTGATCAACAATGGCATTGCAAAGTGAAGGGTTAGTCACTGTCCTTTTGACCCCATTTCCTGCCAAAAGGATAAAAATGGGCGGAAAGACGGAAGATAAAAACAAAGGACTAGATTTTTGAGTGCAGATGGTGACGCTGAAGGGACAGCTCATTTATAGCAATCCTATTGAAAGGAAGGAAGGATGGATTCATGCTGCAGAGAGTACATATCTGGATGAAATGAGTGTGTGAGCAGCAACAGAAGAGGAATATAGACCAGATGAGGTGTGAAGTGTGACCAGGGACCCTCCTTTAAGCCTTTAGCTTCTGGTGCTGCAGGGAGATTTCCTCTATTTTCAGTCTTGTGTCTTTGCCTCCCTGCTGCTGCTGCTCCGTCTCTCACTTATTTCTATATTTCTATTTATTAAGCTTATGATGCTTTCCTCCTCCTGTCTTGGTTTGCTTTTATCTTGCCTTTTGGCTGCATCTTCTTCTTGTTCCTCTTTTCAAACCTTATGAATTATTTATCCTGTCGGTTTCTTTATCTCTCCTGGGTTCCTCCAGTAGATTAGCTGGTCTAAATCCCTTCACTGACTAAAATAGGTTCCTATGGTTTTAATGAAGTATTTTTAAGCTCTGTCAGTTTGAAAAGTTTTAGTTGTTGCTACCCTTCTAGACCCAAATAAATCCACTCAAACTTTATTTAATACGTAAGATATTTTATTTTATAGCATGAGTAAAGTACTGGTGTGATTTCTATTACCGGTACATTAACAGCCGTTAATATTAATGGACTGTTGAACTGAAATGTGCTGGGGAAACCCTGCCGAATATTTGCTCTGTGTTCCTTTTTGATTGAATCCTTGTTGAACTGCAGTAGTTGTAAATTCTTTGCATGGATTTATTTTTAAAGATGAGGGAATTATTTATTTAGGAATTTATTTTCCTGCTTTTCTAATAACACATCAAAGTTGAACAAAACTCTTCCATCTGAAGCCTAACTTTTATCTCAGCCAAACAAATTTTCTCAGTAAGAAACCAAACCCAGAAAATAAACCAAGAATTAACTGTTAAATATCAATTTGTCAATTAATATCTGTGTTTGACACATTGTGAAAGCCGGTGGAAGATTGAAAGCAATGTGCCCAGAATCAGGTGTCCTCTGTGTGTTCCTGTTATAGCACAGGGTGTACTTGTAGCATGATAAAGAGTTTTCTGGGTAAATTTAGGTTATGTAGAAGCAGAGGAGGAGGCTGGGACTCTCCGTTACCTAGATACCAACTCTTCCCATTGAACTACTGTCAACCTGAAACTTAGAAGGGAAAAACAGTTACTTTTACTTTAAGATCCAACATAAAAGACATCCTACTACTCACCTACACTCCATCAACTAGCATCCATCAGTCATTTACTGTATTTTCATTTTTAACTTTAAACTATGGTAAAACTGACTGTTGCGTGATTATGTATTGCATCAGTTCAAGTTGGGTTTTAATCAATAATAACTGTCCAGAATATGTATAAGTTTAACAGTGCTGTGTTTTTGGTTGTCTTTTATGTATTTTATTCGTAAATAATATATAAATAACCAGTTCACAGTACAAATGTATTGGAGACATTTCTGTTTCTGACATTTCCTTAAGTGCATTGCGTAAGGAATAAGAACCTGATTTTTTTACTTTCTTATTTGTGTGTGGTCCACTACTAGTGCATGTCAATGTCTTCACATTTAACCCTCACTTTGCCTATGGCAAGATTTGTAAACATTAATCACAGTAAGCTCAGATTTTCAAGTTGTCTGATCCAAGCTGAATAGCTTCCCTCAGAATCACAGAGATAACAACAGAAATTTCTTTATATTTCTGTGAAATTAAGTAACAGAAATGTCATACAGATTTTTCCACTCTGTCATATCAGGAAGAATTAAAAGCAGAATGAAGTGCAGAAGGAGGCTTGTGCTGCAATGTTAGATTACCAGCAGCTTCCTCCTATGTTGTGACCTCTCTGACTCTAAAATAAAAAGATAAATTAGTAGTTAAGACAACACATTTCTGTGCTTCATTTTTATGTTTTAGTTCGGTATGAATTGCAATTAAAATATAATGGTCTTACTTGTGATAGGATAACATAGGCTACCTCTCTTGCATCCATGCAGCTGTTGTCAATAGTGCCTTGTCTAGGGTTTAAATATTGATTCAGGAATAATTGTTTAGTAAATTGGATGGATGGATCCTGAGGAAACTGTTGTAGCATAAAGCCAGCAGTGTCAGCACTATTTTAACACCCCTTCCCCCCTTTACCAGTAATGTTGATTTCAGTAGTTTTGTACAGTATTTTAGAAAACAATAGGATTTTTAAAATCATTCTTAGTCCTTACATAAAATGTACTTTATAATCTCCCTTCCTATTTTTAGATATCTCAGTGCCGTTGATGGTCTATTAACCAAACAAGCCAACAGGCCACCCTGCTCATAGAACTTGCTGTCATTAAGCTGGATTTATTGTCATTAGAGCCGGAACAGCATTGGCATTCACTGCTTCCTCGGTCACATCATGACTTGTCTTATCACACCAACACACTCATTCAAACAGCGGAAATATCCCAGTGGTTTCTCAGCCACAGACGCAATTAAATGACTAATTACTTATTGTGTACGACTAAATCCCTCTCTTGCATAAACACACACATTTGTATTTCTACCCCTATTGGGAGTTTGTATTGACTTTTATCTGTTTAAGTAACTTCTTATAAACGTATCACTAATAATTACCTTGAGCATCCCTTTTGTTTTTGTGTTTTAAAGGGGTTCTACTGTATAACAACCAAGCTTTGGTTCCAATTAGTCCTTTTGGTCTACAATAATAGTCATGAATATGCAGTATTTAGAATTACACACACAAAAGTAAGCCTTGCTTAAAACTTAGTAATCTATGTGTGGCTTTAAAACCACATGTAACCCTCCTAATTATTTTATACTAAATCTGTAACAAACAAGGACACGCATACACATGCATATAAACCACCTGCTTTGCTTTTTGTGCAGCTCCAAATCCCCAGATGAGCTCAGGCCTGTTGAATAGGCAGACAGCTGTTTGTAGGTTTCAGCAGTTTCTGATAATATGCCCCAACATGTGGAGGAGAGCTGGAGGTTTATCCGGCCGGCCAAATACTCCACGGAAAACATTGTGGCTCTGGATCTGGAGGGACGGATTTATAGAGGTGGAAATTGTAACAACGCTGGAATCCAGCTAATTGGAATTCAATGTGGGAAACTAGATCTACTAAATCCAGGTTTTAACAGCAATATGTCGAGTATTTGCAGATGAGTGAGCGCACATCTGCCAAGAAAAGATGTGCCTTAGAATTGATTCTTAGCTTGGACTAAAATGTTGGCATTTCTTGTGGGAAAACACTTGGTTTTGCTGTATTCTTTTTTTTTTTTTCTTTTCTTTGTGGAGAGAAAATTTGAAAAGAAAAATTAAGATAAGCTTTTTATATTTTTTGACCATTTTATACCTCAGGCAAAATACTTTTAGAACAAATTGAAGAAAAGATTGTGCTTTTTTTTTTTTTTTTTTCCCCAAATAGTCACATTCCCTGCTATCAATGTTTTGTAACTAATAAAACCTGATCAGGGTTGTTTATCTTCATCTTATCTATTTCGATTATAGTTCACAGACCTATTTGGGCAAATGGTTGAATAAGTGCAAACAGACATAGGAAATATTTAGTTCACTCCATATTTAAAGAAACAGAACTGTAGTCATCATTATGTGATATCTAACAGCGACAGACAATGGCTTTGCATGCCACACTTTTCAGAGTTTTTCTAAAACCTATTAGAACCAGGTATTTTTATCTTGCACTGAAAAATTCTGCTATTCTTAGTCTTTTGATAACCAATCGATTATTAAAAAATGGTTATCACTTTTCCCTTTTAGAACAAGGTCTGGAGGAGATGAAGAAAATGTTGCTGCTGCTTTTAGGATGCGCTGTTCAGGTAAGGGCATCACTGTAATGCAGAATTTATTTGAAACCAATTCAATTACCCATTTAATCTAACCCACATATTTAGTCTTTGTAAATTTCATACTAGGCTCATGATGTTTCACAAGCTTTGTTGTCATTTCAAATGTCTTAAACTGTAGCAAAAACTTTTTCTCAATGAATATTTTAATCTTGATCCTGCAAACCTTTCATTGTGTGCAATTTGTCTTGCATAGGATTTTTTTTTTTGTTCTTCTAGTGGTTAATACATTTTGATTGGTTTAAGAGATAGTTTTAAAGATGTGACTATGTTTTTTTTCACGTGCAGCTACTACTTAAATGTGTGTGTACGATCTCTACTAACCAGTTATTGATTTCCACTTTCCAACTCCTCAAAGACTTAAACAAATTCCTGCTTCTCTTCCCTATATTAGAAACTGATGCATTTAAAAGCTCCTAACTTACTTCTCTCTAACAGTGTGAGAAGAAAGAAGAGTTCATTGAACGTATCCAGACTCTGGATTTTGACACCAAAGCTGCGATAGCATCCCACATTCAAGAGGTGCTGTTTGCTTTTAATGAAAAAAAATAGAGTAATCTGTTAAAATGTTTGATTAATACAGTGACTATTTAACTTTATTTTGGTTGGATTAAGTCTAACTGGTCCTGATTTTAGGTGACTCAGAACCAGGAAAATGTGGTGGACCTGCAGTGGTTGGAAACTGGGGAAATGCCCCCCGAGGATTTGGATAGTCTGTCCCGAAATCTGGCTTTCCACCTCAAACGCCTGGTGGATGAAAGAGACACACAGCTGGAGGTAATAGCCTATTTGTTATCTCGTTTCATGTTTTTACAGGGATATATACCAGTGATGCTTTTTCTAACAGGGTTATGTGGAAACTTTTCCTTTTTTTTTTTTGTTGCCACAAAAGAGCAGCCGCAGGAAGGAAGGGCTGAAACTGTTAACTGTCATTGAATTGTGTGGGAGTGTTCTGCTGTGACTTTATGCACCATTAAATGACTTTCCGAGCTATGGGGTACGGATCCCCATTACCAATGGCTGATTTTGTGTGTGGGTGCATGTGAGGGGTTGTAATAGCCCCCAGATTACCATTGAATTTTCCAGCCGTTTTCAATTAAAATCCCATTTCCTGTTGAGGCTGGTAGATTAAAATAAGATTGGTGTGGGGCTCTGTGTAACCTTTATCCTAATCCCTGCTTTACTTTTTAAATGAAGACTGCTTTGATAAAATCTAAGGGTTTTCTTTATCTGCAAGTCCATTCTGTGTTTTTTTTTTTTTCTTGAATCACAGTGCAGCACAGCTTCACCTCTCTACCTTTTCTTCTCCCTTCCTCTTTCATTCAGACAATCGTGGAGCTCACCCAGGAGAGGGACTGCGTACAGCTGTCTCCACTGGCTCCCTTTGCCACCCAGTCTCCTGGTGACTCTCCCAGTATGAGAAGAACTGAAAGTCGCCAGCACCTCTCAGTAGAGTTGGCTGATGCCAAGGCCAAAATCAGACGCCTGCGTCAGGAACTGTGAGTCCCATCAGCTAGATCAGCAATTATTCAAATGAAGCATGTAAATGGACCTCTGATAATACAGACTAATGAGTTCTGGATGTCCGCTGTTTTTGTTCTCCTCTTACTTTGGTTTTAAGATGGTCCAGTTTTGACTAGAGGCTCTAATACAATCACTTAAAAAAGCCACGATTAGGACTATTTATGAGGATCCTATTATCTGTCCCCTGGTACATGATTCTTAGTCATACAGGATCTTAGTTCATTTAGTTTGTATCTGTAAAAATACATTAAAAAAGGTTTGCTGTTCACATTCACTCAAAAAGAGATATATTTAAGTTAACGTCTTTTTAAACATGAATTAAGACACGATAATGAAATCTAGAAGATTTTATTAGATTTTATGCTAAACAGGCACTAAGATTTGGTAGGTAATAATTATCATTATTACATTTTATGTGTTTAGGAGCTGCTGTTGCAATGTTTTGCTGCCCTACAGAAACACACAAAGTAACGGTAAACCTGCTCCAGAAGGCTTCCCAGAGGCCTGATGATGATGAATAATAGAACTTCCTCTTCAGAGTGCTGTCGTCTTTAGCCAGATGATGGTTTAATGGCTAACGGATCAGGTGGTACAGGATGACTGGCCGGTGGTTTTAGCTTCCCATTTCAAGGAGGGATGTCTGTGTTGCACTAACATCTATATTAATGGATCCAGACCCACTTCCCATCATAAGTCTGTGCTGGAGCTATAATAGGAACATCTGTTATCATCAGAGCATATACTTTTATAGTGCGCAATCAAAAAAAACAACATAACTTTGCAAAACAACAGCAAAGAAACAAAGATGAAGAATTTTTGGCCATGATTTTGTTTTGCAGAATCCATCATCATGCTCCCTCTATATTTAGCAAAACTGTGTATTTTGTCCCATTTCAAACTGGAGCCTTTGTGTGTGGGCAGAATGAAAGACTGAATTAAGTCAATTTAAACATGGTAATTTGGATTTAGAACAAGGTGTAAGCCATTATCTTTTTGTTCTGTTTTTTGGAACCTTTAGCTGCGGTATCTATAATGGAAACTTTTTATTGAAGTACGTTGTACAAGAGGGAAAGAAAATATCTCAGTTTATAGAATCATGTCATATGACTTCTATTTCCTCTCTTTAGCCAAGGAGAAGTATGATTATGACTGAGTGCATGCAGAGATAATGTCTCTGACCTCTGTCTAAGGGATGCCAGGTCATCGCTGGAGGATATGCCCCTCTGCTCCCACAGCGCTCTGTTATAGAATGCTTGTTTGTTAAATTGGCTGCAGCTTTCCTCAGACACTTGCTGATGCCACTGGATAAAAAAAGCTGAGGTTGAGATTTTTTTTTTTCAGTTTTTATTTTTTTTTCACATTTATGCATTTCTAAACATTTTGTTTGTGCAAGAGTATATCTGTCCTACATGGCAGCAACATTGAAGCTATAAAGTTCAATTCAGTTTGGAGAATATATAATTAGACATTAATTTGTAAATCCTAGAAATGTCTAATTATTAAAAACATTCTGTTACTCATTCAGTGTCCTTCAGAGGTTGGAGCCAGTCAGGTAAAACTAATGGATTATGTCTCCAGAGCTGTTTAGTTAACAAAAAACTTAGATTTGAAGATCCTTTAAAAAGGATTGAAATGGTAAGATGCTACCCCAGTGTGCAACATTTAGTCTGTTAGCAACTTATTTATTTTTGTCGATGAGGGCCTTTCATGTAGTAATGTTTTTTTTACATTTATTTAATTTTAATGTTTGTGGTGAGTCATTTCCAGCTAGTTGTGGAGGATTTCCAATCCACCAAATGGACAGAATCTCACAGCTGCATTTGATGAAGCAGCTTTAATTTGAAAGCCTCATTCAGTACAGATGGAGCTTGTTTTGTAAAAATGGCAGGAAACGGAACCAGCTGAAGTCATAATATGAGGAGAAAAAGCTAATCTTCCACACAACAGTTGACAGGTGCTTGTAATTTCCAAAAGACAGCCTGTGTGAAAAATGATGCAAAGCTGCAGAAAATGGACAAGTCAATCAGTTGGAAAAAAAGAAGGGGGTGACTCCCTGCACCGTTATTGTCTAGCTTCCCAGATAGCTGTTATAGAAAGCGGGAGGTAAAGGATTGGAGAGAAAAGAATGACTGGATGGGATGCCTCTCCTTATTGAGATGCACAGGGAGACTAAAGAGAGCTGTAATTAAATGGAGCATCAGATGTTCAGTTTCATGCAAACACATGCAGAGACTGAGCAGCATCTCAGGAATGCAGTCGTTTTCTTTCAAAGCGGGGGACAGATTCTCCCCTTGCACTGAGCATGGAGAATTCACACATGTACACAGAGAAAAGTGACATATTTCCCTGGTATCCATGCGTGTAGCCTTTTAGGGTTAAGGTGGAATAAAACGCCCACTACTATTAATGATGAAAACATTCCAGACTTTTGATTTTAAAGTCTTTTTACTTTTCAGCTCTTATTTCTTTCTCCGAGTCAAGGAGGATAAAGGGTTTTAGCCTGAGGGGAATATTTGCTGTATGTTAAGCGTTGTCAAAGGGTTTTTCAGGTATTTGAGCTAGTTCCTCTTCCAGGGTTTGGGTGTGAGAAAGTGCAGCCAACGGAGAACTAAACTTTCCACCAGCTTGTGTTTGCACATGCTTTGGGCTGTTTTGGGATTCTGTTAACTAAAGCATGCACTAGGCTCCTCCCACTATGCATTCCTAGTATAAGATGTTTGTATTTACATTTTAGGTTCTAAAATCTGCTTTTGGGGGAAAAAAAGCAACTTATTCAGCTAAATTAAGTGAGAAAGGAAAGCAAAACAGCCCAAACATTACTGGTACTGGGAACAATCTGCTAAAATGCTATTTCTGCTACCTGTACCGTTCAACAGGCCTCGGGTACCATATTAGTGTTAAAAAGTAGCAAAAATGTGGGGAGGATTTTCCCAATAGATGCGCTTACACAAAGTATTCAACGCTGAATGCATCATTTAAACTAGAGATGCAGCGATCCAATACCACTTTACATTGAACTTTTATTTCAGGTTTTATCCTCTGAAAAATTCCTGCTCTCTTTTGCAGGGAGGAAAAGAGCGAGCAGCTACTGGACACCAGGCAGGAGCTGGAGAACATGGAGGTGGAGCTGAAGAGACTTCAGCAGGAGGTAAAGTCACCAATCATGGCAACACTAACACAGCTGTATGCACATTGTTTTCAAATATTCCAATGAGTTCACTTTCTCTCCACCTGTTTTCTTTCTCCGTACTGTTTCTAAAAGTGCTCCAGGCTTTAATCAGCTCGCCACTCATTATCTCATTAGGGGCTGTTTGAGCTATTTTTAGTCTAACTGTAGATTCATATCGGTTTAGATGCAGTCTGTGCTTTGATGTAAGGCTTTACCCCTTCAAAAAAGCTTTAGCTGTTGTGATGAAATGTTAATACGAGTCCTTTTCTTAGAGCTGATTATTAGAGTCTTTTGGTCATTTAAAATTTTTTTTTTGTGTGTGTAACCAACAAGAATAAATTAGTTTGTTTTACATAATCTACTAATCATATCATATAGAATGAAATATCCGGCTCGGTATGCTTTGATTTCTGTCTGTGTGAAATAAAACTTTTTCTTTAGTTTCTGTTGTTTTAGTAGTTTGAATCTTTACATTTATGTTTTTGTTTGTGAATCCCTGCAGAGCTATCAGCTGCTGTCAGATGCTCGCTCAGCCCGGGCCTACCGCGATGAGCTGGACGCGCTCCGAGAAAAAGCCATACGTGTCGACAAACTGGAGAGCGAAGTCAGCCGATATAAGGAGAGACTACATGACATCGACTTCTATAAGGCCAGAGTGGAGGTAAAAAAGGCCTCTCTCCTACATCTATCCATTATTTATCAGTCTGCTTAATCATCACTCCATCTATCAGGTTGGAAAAGTTTGCGTAGTGAACCCTGTAACAATGGTTTACAAAAGGAAATTACTCAGGGAATTTTGATATTAGCGTTTTTCTTTTCTAAAATGATCATATTAGTATTCACCATATATGTGTTAGACTTACATTTTTTATTCATTTTTTCTTAGGAGCTAAAGGAGGACAACCAGATTTTGCTGGAAACAAAGACAATGCTGGAAGAGCAGCTGGACTCCACCAGGACCCGGTCTGACAAACTACATCTTCTGGAAAAAGAAAACCTTCAGCTTAAGTCCAAGATGCATGATCTGGAGATGGTATATGGCTGCCTTGTTTAGGGGTGGCTGATCTGGGACAGCTGCAGAATGTACAGAAAGACATTTCTCTTACACCTAATCTGTCATGCAGGAGCGGGATCTTGACCGAAAGCGCATGGAGGAGCTGTTGGAGGAGAACCTCGTGTTGGAGATGGCCCAGAAACAGAGTATGGACGAGTCCTTGCATTTGGGCTGGGAACTGGAACAGTTATCGAAGACTCCAGAGCTGGCGGATGGTAGGAAAAAAAAAAAAGTTTTCTTTTTTTAAATGGTATATATTATACATAGAATGACTCAATAAAAAAAGATTCATAAAGTAAAAATGAAGATGCCAACAAATAACCAAGTAAGCTATACTGGAAACTACTGACCAGGACAGTCATTGGCCCTCAATCCTGGCATTATCTCTTAGGGCTCTCTGTATTCGCCAGCCTCCACAGGGCTTCCTTTTCACTTGGATCTTTACTGTAATTAATATTTAATGGCTCAAAAAGGATAAGCTGTGTGGTTGTATAATAAGGGCTGTTAATAGGTTTAGCAAGCCAAGGATCTGGATAAAGATTTGTGAGGATTGATGTTTAAGAAATGCCTTAGTGGAATTACAACCTGTAAGACTTAATCCAGTGTTTGTAATTATTAATACTAGTTTTGCACCAATGCCATTTAGTTTGGCCCCAAAACTACCGGTAATACCCGATACCTGGTTGTGCATTATTATCCGATACTAATACCATCTGTTTGAAATTGATGTGTGTATATATGAAGAACTGCATACCATTTGGATGCAAAATAATTGCCATCATGGCTTTGTCAAGCTGCTGCCTACGTTTGTAAAGCAGGAAAAAGACTAATACAAAGTGAATCGAGGTTGAACTTTTTATTGCCTACATGGAATGGCTGACCATAGTTGAATAAACTTTTGGCTCTCAAAATGGTATCGGTGCCCTTCTTGTTGGTACTCTCCGATACCAATACTATAACTTTAGTGCAGTATTGGGGCCCTGTCCGATACTGGTATCGGTGCAACACTTGTTAATGCATTGTGATTTATTTAGGTGTTTGATAAGAAATCTGATGTGATTTGAGCTTGTCCCATTTCAAATCAAACGGCTTGTATTAAACAAATTTTTCAGCTTTTACTAGTATTATATTATCATTCAACGGAAAATTGAAAAAGTAATGATTGTTAATAGCAGCTGTAAGGACAGTCTGTTGCTGAAGCTTTTCCTACCACAAGTCCTCCTTCCACTCAACTTTCTGTTGATACACAACATGTGAACTTCCTGCCTCTCAGCAATAACCTTTGGTGGCTCTGTCTCCTTGTGAAACGTGTTGATATCTTCCAGACATCTTTCCAGGCAGCAGTCTGCCCAATGATTTGGCAGCTTTCTGACACATTTCTCTGTTTGTAATGATCCTATATTATGAGTCGGAGATGGGTGGCAGAAAATATAGCACTTTTACACAATGTACAAAGGTTTTGAGATATTTTTGATATGCTGAGAAAATGTATTTTATATTAAACATGTTTGTTTAATTGCTTTAGCCCAACCGAAGTCTTTGGGTGAGGAGGTGAACGAGCTGACCTCCAGTCGCCTGTTGAAGCTGGAAAAAGAAAACCAGGCTCTGCTGAAGACGGTGGAGGAACTCAAAGGAGCGGCCAGTCAGGAAACCATAGCTAAACTGACCAAAGCCAACCAAGAAAACCAGAAACTCAACCAGAAAGTAAGCTGGAATTTCATTGATTGCTCTGAAATGGATTGTTTTCAAATGTTTTGTTTATTCAGCCTTGGGCTTTTCTAGGACATCTTTAATTTTCTCCTCCTCAATGCCAAAATTAGCATATTTCTTTAGCACCGCATCCATACCACACAAGCCTGCTCTCAGCTTTAGGTCATTAGACCACAATGACGCTGACAAAGTAACTGGGGAAAGGATAAAGAGGGGTGGATAGGAGGATGAAAGGAAAGCTGTAAATCCACACAAAGTTTACAGCCTTTTTCCTTTAACTCTGGAACACTCTCTGCTGAAAGATTTTTCTCAACTATTTGCAGGAGCGGCAGCTCCTCTCTGTGCCCTCTAAAGCTTGTACCATACATTATAACCCCACTAATACTGTATATATATTTATATGATCCAGGTAACATCTCTGTATAGTTGTATACATGTATATAGTGTTTATATTCATTTACAGCCTCAATCACTGTTCATTGCTGATTACTATCAATGCTGTTATACTGTTTATACATACATTTTATAGTCTATTTATACATACCCTCTGTACACTTGTAAATGCATATTTATATCCTGTATAGCACTTCTGGATAGATGCTAACTGCATTTCGTTGCTTGTACTTGTGACAGTGCAATGACAATAAAGTTGAATTCTATTCTATTCTATTCTAAAGCAAAAGCAAAACATTTAGTTCATCTCCGAAGAGAAAATCTACAATGTGGAATTTGGTTCTAATCCAGGATACATTCAAATGTGAAAGCAGCTGCTGAGATTGCGTTCAAATGTGGACTATTGTATAGTTTTAGTTGAGAGAGAATGAATTTATGGTTTTTACTGTATTTTTAACATTTTTTCCTCAATTATGGAGAATTGTTATTAGCTTTGCTATGATTTTATTATGCAATAGTAATTATTAATCTTAACCCACACTTTCACCTGCTCCCTAAACTTGTCTTTTTGCAGAAACTACCCCCCTTTACTTGATCTTAAACAAAAATCTGCCTTAAATCATGGTGCATTCACTGTACCTCAGTTATTTTTTTCCTCTTTACCTTCCAAAAAACTAATGAAGACTTTAATCAGTATCCTGCTGCTGCTATGTATTTTCATATATTGTTTTCTATTTCCAAAAGGTACAATTAGATATTTTACATGTCAGTGAAAGTAATGTTAAATGTTTATAATACCCTACTCCAGAATTAAAGGTGCATTTTATTTCTCCAATATCGGTAAAAAGAATTTGTAAGTTCTCATGGGTAAAATTTGTGTAGAAAATAATCCTGTATCACATCATCAAGTTTATAAAACCTGGATTTAAAAAAATAAAGGACTTTTGAGTTTGAAATCCACAACCAGCAACTATTACATCCTTTAAGTAGCCAGTGTGAATTCAGCTGCATAACAGATGTTCCTCATATCCTGTCAGCTGTCATATTTTAAATGATTCCTTAAATTTCCCACCATGAATTTGATTCTAGCTCCTAGAAAAGACCATTCTTTCCAGCAGCTAACCTGCAGTATATAGAGAGATGGAGGGGAAGGGGGGGTAAGTGGAGTGTTTAGCTCTCCTTCATACTGCTGGTGAATATGTTACATTTTCCCCTTTCTCGCTGAGAACATTGGCTGAGATTTATTTTCCCCTTGATGCTAAAAAACTGATCCATTCCCAAATTGAACTATAATACTGGTTATGAAGGAAATCTGAATCTCACAGACATTTCCAAAGGCTCTAATGACATGAAAGGGATGCCGTTCCCATGTTTAACAAACAGCTTACGCTAAGATATTTGTTGTTTTCAGCCTGAGCATAATTCACAGTTTGGAAAAATCTTGTTTTATGAAATGAGTTTTATCTAACATGTAAGGACTGTATTATTTGTTTGCAGTTAGAACGACTGGAGAATGAACTGACTGTGGACAGGGAGTCACTCCGTAGTGCCGAGTCACTAAGTACAGACCTGATGAAGGAGAAGGCTTTGCTGGAGAAGACACTGGAGACACTGAGGGAAAACTCAGAGAGACAGGTCCGTCATACAGGACTCAATCCCGTCCATAACTCTGTTTATAATGGCTTAGACTAGCCCACTCATCTTAATTATGGTACAATATGACAGAGGTAGCTGGTTCAGACATCATCGTTGAAATTGTTAATAAGGTTTCTGACCTCTAGTCTGATGAAGCATCATGTGTTTTTCATTTAAAGTAAAGTCTGCACAAAGATTTCTGCAGCTTCCTATGTGCTGCGGAGACTGTAGTCGTCAGACCCAAATCTGACACCTTTGATTACTTTAACCTTGTGATAAGTTAAATCCAGCTTTGATGAGCTTCGGCGGGAAAGCAAACAGCACGCCGGGCTATCAGATTATCAGCCTAGCGGCTTTGTTGCAAATATAATGAGATGTAACTAATGCTGAGCTATTCCTGTACACATACTGCAGCTTGGTAAAGGGCTAATAGGTTTTTAGTGTTTTTATTTTATATTCTCCTGGAAAATGTGAGGATTGAACAACTTCCATGCAGAAAAAACGGGGTTTATGAATAATAAAAAGAAATTATTTATTAAATGTGACTTTAAGCCTCTATTGAAGGTCTGCTTTCCTTTCTTTAGATGAAGGGTCTAGAACAGGAGAACAAGCACCTGAGCCAAACTATATCCACCCTGCGTCAGAGGTGTCAGGTTGGAGCAGAGGCCCGCGTGAAAGATGTAGAGAAAGAGAACCGAGTTCTTCACGAGTCCATCTGTGAGACGACGGCCAAACTAAATAAGCTGGAATTTGAAAGGAAGCAGCTACGTGAGTAACCTGTTAACTGTTATTAGTTGTGATGTTTATGATACGTCTATCAATGTATGGGAAGAGATTTGTTTTTACACACATTTACATGTGTTCGATATCTGTTCTCTTTATAAAAAAATTATCAAGCCAAAAGTCTTCCTGCAAAAGTGAAAGTTTATGTGTAAATGCAGGTAAGGAGCTGGAAGTGATGAAGGAGAAGGGTGAGAGAGCGGAAGAGTTGGAGATTCGGCTACAGAAGCTGGAGAGAGAAAACGAAAGTCTGCAGAAGAAAGTTGCCACTCTTGGAATTACCTGTGAAAGGGTTTGCTCCATTTTTTTTCTATACATTTCTGTATTTTACACTTAACCAATAATTTCAATAATTTCCCAAAGCACTGCCCAGTTGCAGTCCTTGTTTAGTCTAGACATCTTTAGAAGGGGTGTAGACAATTTTAAAAATGATTTGATTCAATTATATGAAAACATATAACACATTAAAATTCATGATTACTGCAGTCTAGAAAAGTGGGGAATTCCATCCATCCATCCATCCATCCATCCATCCATCCATCCATCCATCCATCCATCCATCCATCCATCCATCCTGATGGTATTCCCAGGTGGCCCTTTCTAAGCTCTCTGTTTTTTTTCCTTTAGGTGTCTTCTTTAGAGAAGGATAACTCTGAGTTGGAGGCAGAGGGCCGTTCCCTAAAGAAGAAACTGGATGCTTTAAAAAACATGGCTTTCCAATTGGAAGCGTTGGAAAAGGAGAACTCCCAGCTGGAACAGGAGAACCTGGAGCTTCGGCGCTCGGCTGAGAACCTCCGGTCAGCAGGTGCCAAGGCTGCTCAGCTGGAAGCGGAGAACAGGGAGCTGGAAAGCGAGAGAACCCATCTGAAGCGCAGCTTTGAACTGCTTAAAGCCTCCTCTAAGAAGACGGAAAGATTAGAGGTATTAACACATTCAGGAGGTGCTCCTCTGACAGAGAAGCGTCAAAACTAGACTGAGAAGGAAACAAATATTTAAGATTAAATCTTGGCTGGTTTGAGGTATAAAGATAAGCTAAAGTTTATGCTTTTAGAACAACACACATATGCTATCAAACCCTTTAAAGGTTTAAGTTATTGTTAAAATGACAAAAGAAGATGTCAAAATGATCAGTTTTCGCCAGCTGACCCTCCCTCACCTGTTGCTACAATTTTTCCTCTTGCTTGTAATTTACAGACCATGTCAGCTGTCCCCAATTCACGGTTTGTAAAAATAAGCCTCACCAGCAAGGAAATGACAAACTTAAAAAGTACAGTTTATAAGCAACATGAAACATTTCTGTATAACAGCTGAATAACAACCAGACGAACTAACCTGCTAATATTAGCTTGTTGGATTCCCAGCATTGGTCTCAGTGTTGGTAAACAGCAGAAAGAAAAGGTAATGCATCATATTTTTAATTGAAAGCAGTTAATTATTTAATCAAGTAAGGCATTTTTATATATTTTTGATAATAATCATAGATTTTATTTCACTACATGTGGGTGAAAATTAGTTTCTGAAGTCCATAATTATAAAATATCTTATATATATCAATAGATAAATAAATAAATAAATAACTTTCCAAATTAACTTTGTTTTAAATTTCTGCTTAGTGATTAAATATATGGTTATGGTTTTTACAAAAATATATCAAACCAGCCGATGTTTGTGACAAGTTTAGAGGTTTGTAATATTAGAATTTAATTGAAATAGAAGTTTCACAACTACTTCAGGGAAGAAATTATAAATTTTTAATTTTTCTTAATTTCTTCTGCCAGGTTAGCTACCAAGGTCTCGATACGGAAAACCAGCGGTTGCAGAAAGCTTTAGAGAACAGCAGCAAGAAGATCCAGCAGCTGGAGGCAGAGCTGCAGGAGGTGGAAACTGAGAATCAAAGCCTTCAACGTAACCTGGAGGAGCTGAAGATCTCCAGTAAAAGGCTGGAGCAGCTGGAGCAGGAGGTGGGCTCTAAAAACAGTCACTAAAATGATGCTAAGTGGTGAAAATAATGTTTAATGCACTTTAGAAATATACAAATTGTAATTTACTTATTACCCTGTTCACAAGTATTACATGTTTTACTATATATGGACAGTTTTTTCTTTCTCCAGTTGTAGATTTTAATCAATGACACAACAACAGTTAAACTAATGCGTTGAAAGTGTTTTAAAGCAGAAACAGATTATCCTAGATGGTTTGGCAATAGGTTTTTGGACTTGGACTTTCAGAATTCTACTGAAAAGGTTTTAGAATCTAAAATAATCCGATCACATATGTTTTTTTTTTTTTTCCCCCACAATCTCCTCTTTATTACAAACTATCCAAAACTAGAATAAAACTCTGGAACTAGAAAGCTCCCAACTGGAGAAGGATAAGAAGCTTCTGGAGAAGGAGAACAAACGGTTGAGGCAGCAGGCTGAGATCCGCGACTCCAAATTGGATGACAGCAACCAGCGGATCGCCGCCCTGGAGAAAGAGAACCGCACGATGGGCAAGGAGATGATCTTCTTCAGGGACTCGTGTACGAGAGTCAAAGACCTGGAGAAGGAGAACAAGGAGCTTGTTAAACAGGCCAGCATAGATAAAAAGACCTTACTGACACTCAGAGAGGTAGGCAGATTTTATATATTTACATGTTGTGATCCTCCAGCGTCATGTTCAGACTATCAAACAGTATAAAACTGCAAGAATACTACAAAAATAATTAATACATTATAAAAAAAAGTGTTGGAAAATAATCTGACTATTGAGTCATCGTGTTGCACGATGAATACGGCAACATGCAAGCTTTGGAAATTCATTTAACATGCTTAAGAATACTATAGTTATTATGCATTAATGGCAAAAACATAGAGTCACCAATCAGGATCAAGGGAGCTCATCTGCATTGTGAGTCACTGAAATTCCTTACCTTTGTTTCGTTTCAAAGCAGGGAAACACAGACGGTTGGTTTGAGCTCTGGTAGCAGAGTCCTGTTTTACCCCCCTCAGCTTTAACGTTAGCTGACCTAATGCTCATGTTTACTTGTCACTGCATGAATAACAGTAGCCATGTTTGCATGCACAAATTTCCTTGATCAAACTGAATTATGTTCGGTATCTGGAATGCATTGTATGTTTGAGCTCAATGTGCACCAAGATTTATTCAGATCAGAAGCACTCTGACTTTGAGAGAGTGCTTAAAATGCATGTGTTTCATCCTCCTGACAACAGACACACAGATCTGCTGGTTTTGACTGTTCTCAGGATGGATGTGCGCAGGTTTTGGGTGTAGTTGAGCCATTTTTGCTTTTTCTATACGCGGCTACAAGCTCGGCGACTCATTGTGTTGCTGTTCCTTGGTTACTGCTGGGTTACATGATGTGAGAGCAAAGACAAATCGGCATTCCTCAAAGGGCTGGGAGGTTGAGACACAAATCTGTTACCAAATCTGGGCTGATCTTATTTGACAGTCAGTCGGGGTGTGTTTGCAGTGTTGCTTTGTTGTGCTGAATATTTTCCCTCAGTGCAGCATCTCCAATGTGAGGTGCACCCAGACTAGGGATAGGTACCATTCACCTTTAAGGCCTTAGCGTCCCAATGCCAATTGTGATTATATGTGCCTTAAATAAATGAAGATGATGATGATGTTGCTTCCTCATGGCGCTTGCTGAAGCTGACGATCTGCTAAAGGATGCCAACAGTGCCAAATGGAGGAGTTTTGGCCTTGGATTCCTCAAATTTAAAGTAATCCTGCTGCCTGCCTAAATTAAATTTACCCTAATCTAAATTAGCCAAATTACCTTATTTCTGACATCATCACGCTCTTGTGCATGCAATTCTCCTTTTATGTCCGCCATTGAAAATTGGGTACTTTTCCACTACTTGAGTGTCACAATAATGCATTTAAGCTACCAAAACATGGTAACATTTCATTTTACATGAAGAGGTCCTTGTTGGTACCAGGAGAATTTGTCCAGTACCAATAAAAGTACTGAATCAGGAACCCATCCCTATTAACCCAGACCAGTTTCCCAGGTTCACTTTAGTTTTTCTTTGATTATGTTAATATTGACTGTTAAATCTTTGACCAACAATCGAGTCAAAATAAATTCCCTCTTATTTTAAATCCAAATAGTTTATTTTTGTGAATATTGTTGAAACAGAGCCACTTATTAACAAGGTGATTCATCACTTACCGGAAAAAATAAGGAACCAATTGATAAGATAAGATGTTTTAAATATGAATTGCAGATAAACACAGGCCTATAATACAGGATGATTAGAATGCAGTGTTGTGTGTGTAGGAACTTGTGAGTGAGAAACTGCGGACTCAGCAGATGAATAATGACCTGGAGAAGCTAACTCATGAGCTGGAGAAGATTGGGCTGAACAAAGAGAGACTTCTCCATGACGAGAGCTCGGATGACAGGTACACGTACAAAAAAGCAATATTAATGCAATAATATTGTTATTCGGTGATGGGTCATTTTGAAATCAGTGTAATATATATAAATCAGAGAGGCAGATTTTTTTCTTTTTTACTTTAAGTTCTCAGTTTTATATTTTTATTTTTTTTCTGAGCCTGAATCTTGTCATGCTATGCAAGATACCAGTTTACCTTTTTTTTTTTTCCTTTAACACTGTTCAGTTGTTACATTTATCCAGTTAATGTACAAATACCACGTTTTTTCCTTTAGGTTTAAGCTTCTTGAAACCAAACTGGAGTCAACTTTGAAATCATCGTTGGAGATTAAAGAGGAGAAAATTGCTGCTTTAGAGGCGCGATTGCAGGAATCCTCCAACCTCAACCAGCAACTTCGCCAGGAGCTGAAAACGGTAAATGATGCAGCAATGAGAATGCGATGAGATTAAAAAGATTCAATTGTCTATAAAAGAAAATAAATATGAAAAGATACAATCAATACCATATATTTTAATATAAATTGAAGAAAAACTACGAATTAGACAAATGAAACAAATTGTGAAAATTATGCATGAGTTACTGAGGTCTTTGCCAAACAAACAGTTTACAGTCTAAATTTGAAACTTACTTTTTTTTTTTTTTTTTTTTTTACGTTAACCTGCTTTATTTATGTATGGTATTTTTGGGCTGTGAGATTGTTGCAAACCACATAAGCGTTCATTTTGATGTTTTATCTGATTCTCCTCAGGTAAAGAAAAACTATGAGGCACTTCGCCAGAGAGAGGAGGAAGAAAGGATGGTCCACAGTTCACCTCCCAAAGGAGGCGAAAATTCCCAGAGTGTCAATAAGTGGGAAAAGGAAAGCCATGAAGCCACCAGAGAACTTTTGAAAGTCAAAGACAGACTCATTGAAGTTGAAAGAAATGTGAGTTCTAGTGAGCATTTCAGATTGCTCATGGGTTTTTCCTGTTTCTACTCCAACTCTCTGCATTATTCCTGATCATATTTGTGTGTTTTCCTAGAATGCTACGCTGCAGGCTGAGAAGGTGGCCCTGAGAAGCCAACTCAAACAACTTGAGACCCAGAACTCCAACCTGCAGGCGCAGATAGTTGCAGTGCAGAGACAGACAGCCTCCCTACAAGAGAACAACACAACCCTGCAGACACAGAACGCCAAACTGCAGGTACGTCTTTGTTCAAATAAAGCCTATTTCCCACTGAAAATACCAGGTTCATGCATGTTTTTCGACTATGGGTCGATCCGCTAAGAATTGGTATTTGGCTCCCTTCCTATTGGCAAAGAAAAGCCTGGTCCAACCTCTAGCTGGGAATCTGCATGGCCTCTGTAGCCCTGCGGCTGCATGTCTGGTGACACAATCACACACTTTTAGCTTTGATGCTGTCATCAGTGCAACAAAAAATCAGGAAAGTAAACAATGGAGAGCAACATGTAAGGAAGTCAGTATGTAGTAAGTCTGCTTTAACACTGACCAGTGTTGAGCCATGTTTGTCAAATGTAAACAGAGTTGTTTTGGCTTCAGCTAGCTGTTCCCATTGCCACTAAAAAGCCGATTTTTCCCTACTATAAAAAAGTTTTTTGGCCAGTGGGAAAGGCCTATCAGGTATGACTGATTGCCGTTAAGAGAAATGCATGATTAATCTTAATATTAAGTAGTTACCAGCACAATGCCCCTCATTAATTAGTCTATGGTCCCAATGTGTTCTAAGGAACCAAAATGCTTACCGTCAATTACATAATATAGAATTTTTTGGTAATCCAGGAAATTTTGTAATATTTTTCTTGTGCATCAGAAGGATTGGAATTTCAACTGCAAGATAAACTTTTATTTAGTCAAGTTTTGCATCATTTTCATTGTTAGCATCCATCCTTCTTTGAGGCAGGCGCACAGAAAACTATTTTAACTTAAGCTGGATTTCGCTTTCTTATTTGAGCTAATATATTGTTTTAATGCATAACATAAAAATTAACTAAAAGGAGAAAGCTGTTACTATGATTAAGTAACAAGATGTTGGTGTCCCAATAAAGGGTGACCCCTGTGTCAGAGGTGTATTGGCTCTGGATTTGCTCTCTTCCCATTGTACAAGTATTAATATGAAATAGCTGTACAATTAGTGCCAGGAATTAGAGACCTGAACTTGTTTATTTCTGGGTGTCAATAAGTGTGACCTTGCTCCTCTCTGATTATATTATCCTAATGTCAGAAGATTGGTTCAGGAGCGTGTGTTTAAACACAGTTAAGCTGTTGCACCCTGTGTGTTTGTGCAGCTCCCCAGCCAAGCGGCTTTACTCCCTGCTATGGATTTACATTTGCTCTCACTGTTTGCCAGCTTTTCAAACTCTTCTGATGTGTGCAGGGGTTAGACAGTAGCTGCTAACTGGGTCTGGAAAGGGTTCAAGTTTCTGTGTGTGCAAAGCCAGCAGTCTGATGGCATTTATTTATGTGTATTGCTGTATGGAAAGCTACCTGGACATGGTTTCTCAGTGTGTGTGAATAAACTGTTAATTACTGTAGAGAAGTTTCAGGCAGGTAAAGTATACTGACTGAAAGGGAACTCATAAACTGATAAAGGAACATAGTTCCACGTTTCCATTTCTGCAAATCTCAATCTTTCACTGAATAGACACAGTGCCCCCTACAGACCAAGACCACAATAACTTCTTACTTGGTTTTATTGTTTGGTTTGAGGAGAATATGGCCTGATTTCCAACATCTTTGCATGAAAAAAAAAAGAAAAATCTGCTCTATTTTTATGCTGTAGGTGGAGAACTCTACTCTGAACTCCCAGAGTGCTGCCCTCATGGCCCAGAATGCCCAGCTGCAGAGCCAGCAGAGCAGTGTGGAGGGAGAACGAGAGGGAGCGCTGAAGGAGAAAGAGGAGCTGAGGGCGACGTATGAGCTGCTGCTCCGAGATCACGAGAAGCTTGCAGCGCTTCATGAGAGGCAGGCGTCAGAGTATGAAGCTCTAATAGGGAAACATGGTGGCCTGAAGACCTCACATAAAAGCCTCGAACAAAAGCACAGAGACTTGGAGGACAAGTGAGCCTCTATCTTAATATAGCAATATTCACTCACCGTTTTATAGCAAACTAAAGAAACAAAATCCCAATTTCTTGTTGCATTTTATATTTATGCACACAGATATAAGCAGCTCTTGCAAAGAAAGGGGGAGTTGGAGGAGCTTGAGAAAAACCTGAATGACCAACAGGAGAAGATGGCACAGGAGAATCAGAGCCACCAAGCCACAGCTGACCAGTGCAAACTGCTCAAAGAGGAAAACGACAGGTTAGCTTCTAATGAGGCTGGAGTAAAGGAAATTGCTTATAAAATAAGAGTTTAACATCTTTCTTTTTTGTAATTTTAAGGTCAAATTAAGTATTCTTAAATGATTGTTGCATATAAGTGTTGGTATATGCATAACAAGATAAATTTATGTCTAAAAATAGATTATTTCTTATGCATTTCACAGACAAACCACACATTAAAAGTTTTTTGGTTTTTTTTATTACTGGATAGGAGCATTACTTAAGATGTCTGGTATGATTGATTTTTCTTCAGTTAACACTGCTAAAATCAAAAATTTGCCTCAACAGATACAAAATTAGTATCTTAAACTGAGCCTGTGTTTGGAAACTCCAAGTCAGGAATATATGGACATTTTGAATGGATAAAGTGTAGAAACCTGGATGTTATCAGAGTGACTAATTACTATATTACCTCGAAACCTCTGTGCCATCTGTTTAGGCTGAACACTGCCTATCGTCAGCTGATGAAGGACAACGAGAACCTGCAGGTGGACCATAAGAACATAAAGAGCCAGCTGAACAGTGCAAAGCTGGAGCAGACCAAGCTAGAAGCTGAGTTCTCTAAACTGAAGGAGCAATACCAGCAGTTGGACATCACCTCCACAAAACTCACCAACCAGTGTGAGGTAAAGATACTGCCCCTCATTTGGAGCATTTTACAGTTTTTTCAGATATGTTCAAAGATGTAGTTATAAGCAAGTCTTCCCATTTTTAGTTGTTGAGCCAACTAAAAGGAAACCTGGAGGAGGAGAACCGTCACCTGTTGGACCAGATCCAGACACTGATGCTGCAAAATCGAACGCTTTTGGAGCAGACCATGGAGAGCAAGGACCTGTTCCATGTAGAGCAAAGACAATACATGTAAACTTAAACATACATTTTTACATACTATGCTTTGCAAAAGAATCCATTCCCCTTTTTCATATTGTAGCATCTGGGACCCTTAAATAACATTTGAGTTGCTTTAAGAGATCCTTTATAAACAGAAAGGAGGTCTACCTTAACAGCCTGATCAGAGAAACAGCCAAGTGATCCATGGTATTTGTGTATGTCCTGCAGAGATCCTCTTTTTCACTTCAATTCAGTTTATCTATAAAGCGCCATTTCACAACACATCATCTCCAGCAACTTTACAGTTCACCAGATCATACATTCAAATTAATAAAACATTTTCTATCTAAGGAAAACCAGTTGATTGCACTGACTCGAACGCAATCCCTCTTACCAAGCATGCTTGTAGCGACAGTCGAGAGGAAAACGAATCCCTTTAAAAAGGAAGACCTTTTAATTCCCTATTTATATGGGAGAATCCCCTGAAAGACAACTATAATGGAGTATAAAGGTCTCTTTTAAGCCTTTCTAAGGCAACTTTAAGCATATATAATAATGTGTATAAAATATAGTTTTCTGTTATTTTTCCCAACCTGGAAAAAAGACACTTGCCTTCACTGTGACGCCACCAAAGGAATTGCCACTCTGGGCATGATTTAAATGAAGGAATAGTTATAAGATAGTGAAAAGCTTAAAGATATTTTTGCATCACATATAGGCCCACAAAAAAAATACAGGTTTTATATAAAGCCATAAGAAATAATGTTAAGTTTTCTAATAGCTCTCTTTGGCAACGATTAAAAAAAAGAGATTGGACCAGAGTTAAAAATGGCCTAAATGCAAACACTATCCTAAATTTAGAGCTACATCTACAAGGAAGACTTTAGATCGGTGTAAAGGTTTTAAATGCCTAGTCAAAGTCCAGCTAAGAATCTAAAGGGAACCTTCGGCTGCTCATTCTCTCCTACTTCCATCTAACAAAGTTTGTGCTGTTTTGCTCAGATAAATCAGTAAAAAATGTGCTAACATGGTTATGACTCATTTTAAAAATACCTGAAGCTGTAGGCCGCAAATATGATTCTACAAAGTATTGGATTTGAGAGCTAAATACAAATCAAAGCCAAATTTTTCCTAGTTGTATTCATTTTATTTCAATACTACTTATGTCTTCAGTTTTCCTTAATAAAAATGCACCACTTTGCTTTGGTCTGTCACATCAAATCCCAGTAAAGTGTTTTAATGTTTTTGGTTGTGACGTGATAAAATGTGAAAAATTTTCAGGTCTGTGAACATTTAAAGGTTTGAATAATATTGTAATATTTTTCTCTCTAATCAATTTGATCTGGTTTGTAAGAGTTTTTGTCTTTGTTTTTGCTTTTTACTATCTGCTATATATAGAGACAAGCTAAATGAGCTGAGGAGACAGAAGGAAAAACTTGAAGAAAAAATAATGGATCAGTACAAATTCTACGATCCTTCGCCTCCACGCAGGTAAAAAGCAACTTTAATATATAATAAGATTTACTTTGCAAAGAGTAGATTATTTTTAATTCTACCACATAACTATGTTTTACCTCATTTACATTCAATCTGTTGACTGTTAGATCTAGCTTTGGAAAAAATGCACCATCATCATGAGAAACTCATTAAATATTTATGGCTTGCAAAGCCTTCGGTAGCTGCATAAAAAAGTACTTAAAAGGAAACTCATTAGCACTACAAATAGTTTTTTTTTTCTTTTTCACCAACATCATTTTCTCATGGTTGCTGTATTTAAATCCCTACTGTGATTACTCTTCATCACAGGCGTGGTAACTGGATCACTCTAAAGATGAAGAAGCTGATCAAGCCAAAGAGGGAGCGGATGCGTTCTCTCACGCTGACTCCTTCTCGTTCGGAGCTCGGAGACGGTTTTTTTACGTTTCCTGCTGACAGCCAGGACAGCTCATCCATAGGCTCTGGTTCTAACTCGCTAGATGACACGCTCACACAGAAGAGGAGCAGCAGTGAGTATGATAATGATACCTTTATCTCGTCCTAAACACACTTTCTTGATTGATAACGTTTGGTCAGATGGGTTTGTAGAGTGTGCCTGAAGGACTGAGTGAGTCTTTAAATCCCTAACTGCTCCTTTGCTTCTTTATCTCTCTGTGCAAAGGAAGGAGAGGGCAGCATCCCCATGCCCAAAGTCAGGGTTCCTCCAATGGTATGCCGTGGATAGGGAGGGTGGGCGGGGCTAATGACCCAACTGTCATGTCTCTTGGGGCATGTCTTTGTGAGTTCATTGTCTGTGTCGCTCATAGAGGTTACAGTTGAGCTGTGCAGAAAGACAAGGTTAACTCTGACTCCACCTGGTTAACAAAAATAGCAGAAACTCACCTTTGAAACAGCAAAAGGTGGGTTCGTTGAACCTTAGTTTGATGGTAACCAAGCTCACAAAGCCTAAAATATTTGATTATTTATTCCACCTCATAGGACTATTGTTTTCAATAGTCCCTATTATTGTTTGTTTTTAAAATGTCTCACAACTACAAGCATTAAGCTATAAATATTAATCGGTTTAACAGTTATAGAGAGGCATACCTGGTTTGGTGTTTTCTTTATAAGCTCACGTCTGTGTGCTCCCCTTCCCAAATAGCTACAATAAAACAACATTTTTAAAAGAATGATCAGCTAAAAAAAAAAAATGTTTTATCCCTTACCTTTCATATCTGTTAATTGTGTCAACATCTTATCCAGTGGCGTCCAGCTGCTGATGTTCAACTATGTAATATAAGCATCTGATTTTGAGTAAGCAGAGTATGATACCTTGAAGGAACTCAAGCATCATCATCAAACACATCATTGTGCAAAATCGAAGGAATACTTGCATAATGATCAGTTAAAGCTTAATTACTGTGTATTTTAAAGACGTGTCTTTATATCTTAAACCATTTTCTTTTGTTTTAACACAGATTTTTTTTTTTATTTTAAGGTGATTTTACCTTTCCTTCAGGTTTAACGGTTTAATTTAGCAGAGTTGTTTAGGTTACCTTAATTGTAATCAGATTACTTCAGTTTACTTCATGTGCTTCTAATCCTGAAAGCAGGTATGCCAAATTACAACCTATAGGTCTACCTCTGTTACCATCTCCAAACAATCCAAGAGCAGGTTAACCATCTGATACTGCAGTTCACCTGTAAAAAGGGACTGGATCATTCTCTACCATAGCAATAAAACTATTAAAGGGTGCAATAAAAAATTGTCACAATAGATGATTGATGTTGTTTATCACAGCTTATCATCCCACACGTTGCAAAGGTAGTTTCAGCCGTTGAAGCTGAAGTGGATTTTTATTTCTGAGGAATTGTGGATAATCTTTGTAGTCAAACTTAAGCTGAGTTTACATTTAAAAGAAAATATCATTCAATAATTAGATTCAAATTGAAACTTATTATATCAATAGAAGAGTTATTTCAGCTGATTTTAATGATTAAGACTTACAGCTAAAGTAAACCTTAAATCCAGTTTCAGATGTGAATATTGTAAAAGGATTGTTATTATGCAAACATTAAATTACCTACATGATCACATTGAAAACGTACCTGACAGGTATCCAGCAGATTGTTACGGTCCAATGGAAAGTTGAGTGGAAGGACAACTTGCTGTTAAAAGCAGTAAGTTAGCAACAATGATGAGTCTGAAGGAGGAACATGGAGTCGTAGAGGCCAAGTCAATCAAAGTCCAGTCTTGGAGTTGCCATTCTGACTGGCACATTTGTGACACGAATATCGGATAACATTTAATTATCCATAAGTTAGCAAGATCACTGATTCCACTAATCAGGGCTTGTTATATTTTAGGAAAAAAGGGGGAAAAAAATCAGATACAACAGTGGAGATTAACTGAAGGCCACTGTTCTTTTTTATATATGGTCTGCTTTCTAATAAATGCTATGTGCTATATTAAAGCAACATTTATTACTAATGTTTATCATGCAAAGTGAGCTTTCAGTGTATGTGCTTTACAGCATAGCTTTTAATATATGTATATTTCCGTTTGAAATACATTTTTTGGGCTTTGATAATATTCTTATCTAATCTAATATTCTTCATATTTTTAGCTGTGAAATATACCTCATAAATAAACAAAGTAAGATTGGATTTTATCTCCATTGAGCCCGGTTCCATAAAAAAAACAGAGCTTATGCTGCTCATATGTGTTCTTCTTGTCTGTGATCCTTTTGGGACACTAATAATTCCTGAAACTCTCCTAATTGCACCCTTTAATACCTCTCATCTTCTTCGTCTTGTCTAGATGTGGTCATATGTCGACATGTTTAACCAGTGTAATGTCTGGAAAATAGTTTGCATTGTAGTTTTTAGAGTTTAGGATCGTTAACATGAGGATGATTGTGACGCGTGCTGACAGCTGCAGTGTGAGTGTGTGTATTTGCATACCATGTTTATATTTTTGTTTAAATGTTTGTTGATTTTTATACAAGCCTGCCCTAAAGTAAATATTTATTTTGTGAAATGTATAATTAAGAAACTCGAAATGTTAAACTGGCATTTAATAAGTGATCAGCTTTAATGTGGTATTCTTTCGCCGTCTTTCTAACACTAGCTAAATAAAAATCTTACCTGTACTGTAAGATTTTTTTTCCAGTCTTTAAAATCAGCTCTATTGTTATAAAAACTGTTTGTTTAGAATTTAATATATGATGCTGGTCAATCTGTTTAGGCTTCAGTTGATCCAGACTTATAATATTTTACGTCTGATGTTTAGTAGTGGAGGCTAAGCTCTCTGTTCATGTCTCCCCTGGCTCTGATTGAGCCAACGTTAACCACATCCATCTGTTTTGCCCTCCTTTTTTCTTTATTTTTCTCTCCTCCACCTCTCTCGGCTTGTTCTATTGCTATCCCCCCCTTGTCTGTCTGTCTGTCTGCCTCCGGCTGTGCTTCGACAGCTATAAAAAGGTTACCTTTCATGAGGAACAGATCCAAGGACAAAGACAAAGCCAAGGCCATCTACCGACGCTCGATGTGTAAGACCTCCGTTAGCCGCCACCGTAGCCTTTCCAGTGCCTCTTGTTGTGATTCTAGTAGAAACAGAGAGGGAGTGGTCACTGATGTCAAACTGATGAGAGTGGGGCTGCGATGCTGTGGCATTAACGTTTAATATTACATATTAGCTTGTCAGGTTCTATTTTACGTTAGAAACATCTGCATTAACGACTTAAATCGTTATTATATATTCTCTGTATCCTTCATTCCCCCATTCTGCATCTGATAACATCAGTGATCTGTTGTCCAGACTCTTTTTCTTTGTAACCCAACTTCTCATCACTTTTTCTGCTGAATGCTTCCACTTTCTGCTGTGAGGTATTTGAAGCCCTCCCATGTGTAGTGTCACCTTGTTCTCAGATAAATGTATTCCCTTCTCAAACTAAAAAAAAAAAAAGTCTTATTTTTTCCTTACGTAGATGTATTTCTTGTGCTGTCACATTTTGCATTTCCAGACAAAGGCCTTCAGGTTGTGGCATTTGTTGGGCAGATTTAATTTGTGCTCAGTATTTTCATTTTGCACATCCAGAGTGAAAGGCTGTGTGTGTTTGTGTGCGTGGAAGATAGCCTGTTGAAGTGAGATAGCAGGGAAGACTGTGGTTGCCTTTCATGCGCCTGAGTTGTTTCTTCCAATATATGGCATGAATCACCGACTGCTCGATCAACACCGCACTCACCATGAAGGACTTGAAATGGAGCCTTTTGTTGTCTCTATGTCTCACTCTTTGTCTCTCTCTTCTTCTGTCAGTGTGCTGCATTTCAGATCTTATTCTGCTGACATGGACTCACATTTGCTGCTTGCAGCTCTGCATGCCTTTCTACCGCCGCATATGGCTCAATAAGCAAAGTGCACAAAGACGATATGTAATGTCTGTAAGGTTTAGATGAGCCAGAATGATCGATGGTTCTGCTGCTGCCTTCTTTATGCACTTTGGTTGATTGTAAAATCGCCGTATATGCCTGCATGGGCCTTTTGTAAGAGTTGTTTTGTGCTATAAGATTATAATGCTGTTTGATTTGAATAAACATACTTGCAAGTTTAGGGGCTATTGCAAAATACTAGGAGAGCAGCGATTGCAGCTTTTTGGCTGCGCCGGTAACTGATCTTTAAAAAGCTTGACGCAACGATTCCAATTTTGATCCCTACCGATTTTTTTATTTTATTTTTTTTTAATAACCAACACTGTTGGTTGTTATTAGATCGCAAAACACCTTCAGTCTTTCAATATGTTACTGAAAGGCATTAAGCAGTACCTGTGAAACAACAAAAACACCTGAAATTACTGCTCTCTAATATAAATACAATTTTAGAGCATTCATTTTAAGACCTGTGCAGAGGTAGATAAGATCTCTGGAAACAATAGGTTTTACATTTAAGGGTCAGTCCATCAACGATCCCCCAAAATTAAAGAAATTGACTCAGATAAATTGGCCGACTGATCAACCGGTGCACCCCTACAAAATACGGCTGTTTTCTTCTTTATTTGCAACCTTTAGTCTTGGTCTGGAAAGATTCAACTATATTGCTTTCCACTGTGAAAAACAACATTTAAAAAAATAGTATTTCAGGAAGCAATTTTACTGTCTTTATGGGGGAAAAAAGTACTTTTAAATTATTTATTTTAATTAAATTAACTTTTCTAGATTGTGCTACTCTTTTTTTGTTTAGAACACCGTTATAATTAAATATACCAAGCAAAACTAAAATGAAACCCAAACATTTATACGTAGAAGTGTTTTTTACAAGCAAGTTGCATCACAGCTTTGATTGCTGCATTGTCATTTATTACCGGCTCATTTCTTAATCACTTTCAGCCTAACGGGAAGGAAAACTTAGTTATTTTTAAAGATTTAGAAAGAGAAACGATGATTGAGATTATTTCATATTAAAGGGTCCTTTCAAGTGTAACCATTTCAATGATTCTAAGTTGCTATTTGTGACATCTTTTTATTTCTATCTGGACACTCAGCCATGAACGACTTGCTGGAGAAGATGGCAGTGGCGGGTGTTTCTGCCTCACAGTGGACGGGCAGCACGGAGAACCTAGACGAACCTGAAGCAGGGGACTCTGGCATGACGGGAAGCAGCAGGCGCAGCGGGCAGCGAATGAAGGAGCTCGCCTTATCCACCAATGCTATCGACTGCGCTGCACTAACGCTGCCATCAGCTAGGCACGGCAGAGCTAAGCTCCGCCTCCAGGTCAAAGGTAGGAAAATTAACCTATGATATTTAGATGTTATTTTTAGTGAAGTATTTGAACCTAAAATACTCACTGAGCCTTTTATAGTTGTTCTTTATGACTGTAAAATATAAACATGCACTTATAAATGTCCTTTGCCTTCCCGTAGTGGGTTGTCCTTATTTATATATGTGGCACAAACAGCATCATATCACCTTACAGGACCAACCAATGTAAAGAGGAAGGAACTTAAAAAAAAAAATCATTTGCAGCTTTATTTGAAACTTCTTTAGTATCTAATATTAGCTATCAGTAGGGTTGGCATACTAAAAAAGCAGTTATATTTACAGTAGGCAGCAACATATTCAGATCCAGCATGTTGAGGTCAGATGTTTTAAGATGTATTCTCTCAGCCGGCATGGTTCTTTGGTTTTAAATAGCTTCTCACAGCTTTTGAGTTTCTGTTTGTTTTTTTCTTTTTAAACCCTCGCTGCCTCTTCAAATGGCTAACTTTTAGTCTGTCTCCACAGACAATGCCTCATGTGAGGATGTTGCCGGTTCCTCAGATGACCCCAAGAGTCAAGGTAAGACTGACATGAAAGCAGGATAAAGGATGTTCAGATGTGAGAAGTGAATAGCTGTGGAATCAAGAAAAAAAGGAGGTCATCTGCAGAAACGTTGCCTTTATTAAGCCCGGTCTCCCGACTGAAAGGAATTTAAGTAAAAAGGGTAAAAAGTGAAACTGTCTCTTATTTAGGCCTTTGAATTTTGTCCAGGACATCTAATCACCCGCCAGATTAATCAGCCCTTTGCTGCTAAAATATGGCTGACACAGTTTGTACACAGCATCCAAACTGCTATCACACATTATTTACACCTAAAATAGCTAGAACATTCTCAATTTTCAATATAGTTTTAGAGAAAAAACTGATTTGTTTTCACATTTTTTCAGAATTGTATTTATTCTTGCATCAAACCACATTTAATCTGAACTTAACTGGCTAATTTTGTTTCATTAAATGAGTTGAATGCTTTACTATAGCACTGCTCATTTCTTTCAGACAACTTTGCATAAAGCATTTATAAAATAAAATGTAATCCTTTGAGACAGAGTTCCCACTTTCTTATAATGGCATTGAGGAAATGGAGGTCCGGTCCTACCCTGTACATTAGTTCTGATGCATTAGGTCTCTGTCTGAAGTATCTATTGATTTCTGAAACACTTGTCTGTTTTGTTTCCTAGCATTAGTGAATGTTAAGAACTTTTATGAGCATTAAGAATTTTAGATTCCACCGTGTGGATGTGCTGCATTATGTGTATGTGTGTGTTTTATTAGGCATTGCTTTGTATCGTCCTCTTGAGCTGAGGGCAATGTGCAGAGTGCCCTGTAGCATCTGTAGTAAGTGCCATTTACTGTGCACAGGCTGTCACTTGTGGGGCTCAATGAAAGGGCTGTTTTTCTCAGAGTAACACCTGTAATAATGGGTTTCTAAGTGTTGAGATTACCTCTAATTTGGTATGATGAAACTTAGTCTGAGCTCATTTCACCTGCACTGGTTTCCTTTTTAAACTAACCCCTGTGGGAGTAGGGGAGCACAGATTAAAATGGACTAATCCCCCTCTTTGCTTCCTTTAACTCGGTCCATTTCACGTCATTTATTTATTTATTTTTTTATACTAACAGACTTGCTCTGATTTTCCTCTCATCTTAAATAGAGTGGGTTGATTTTTATGGTGTTCCTTCCATCTCCATCAGTGGTTTCTTTGTCTTCTTGAGGCTGGCGCTCAGCCACCCTTCCTGTCCCTCAGCCTGACATGAGCCATCTGCCGTCCCAGCAGGTGACGCTCTGTCGGCCTGTTGACGTGCACCTGCATGTTTCTCCTTGTTTCACTGCATGTCGGGGGATAAATGTAAGCTTGTGTAAATCCTAACTGAACGTGTGTTCGCCTCCCCTCTTGTCCTCTACCCAGCCTCCAGACCCTCAAGTCTTCATAGCAACAGGACCACAAGTAGCAATAGTAACAATAATTCACACCTCACTTCTCCCCTGGAGGGCAAAGGTATGCTGCTCCATTTTCCTCCATTTTTAGCCACCTCCACTAACCTCTTAACCTCTTGGTTTTTGTTTCTGTTCAAACCATATGATCAGAGGACACTGACCTTTTCTAATTTGAAGGATAAAGGTTGTAGTTTTTGTCTGTGGGTGGACACAGTTTAAAAAAAAAGACGACTATTCTGTCAAAAAGCTGTAATTAGGATCAAGAAAGAAAACGTTTCTGTCCTCTTTACCAAATCCTTGGCCTTCCACAGGCACCCTGAATGGCTGCCTTAGCAGGCCTCAAAGTGAGAGCAGTGGGGAGTTCAGTCTGAGCCTGGACCAGGAGGTGTGGTCCAGCAGCGGCAGCAGCCCTGTCCAGCAGACCGCCGCCCTGCGTTCCTCCCACCAGAGCCCCCTGCAGCTGCGAAGGTCACTGGAACCTTCCAGCAGCTCGGCCAGCTCTAGCCAGGCTCCGATCAGGAAGACGGGATCCCCCAGTGAGGTTCTGTCCCTGCAGCAGTTCCTGGACGAGGGTATCGATCCTGCAGAGGTGAGGGCTTGGAATGTGATTATGTTGCAGTTTTTTAAGATAAAGGAGTGGGTGGGAGGGTTTGTGTGTGTGTGTGTTTGTTGGGGGGTTTGAGACGGGGAATTTAGAAGCAGAAATCAAAGAGGCTTTTGTGTTTCCACTGTGATTCTGTTTATTTACTTACTACCTTTGAACCGATGTATGAATATGAAGTAAGAACAGGCCTATGAGCTTTAATTTACTTTAGGGCTGAAACAATTAATCGTATTAATTGTGATTTATCGATTATTGAAATAATCGTCAACTAATTTAGTTGATGAAATTTAATCCGATTAATCGTAGAATATAGATTCTGAAACATGCCTTTAGCAGACAGAGCAACCCACTTAAAGACATAATTATATAAAAATTGAAAAAATTTAGCATTTATGATGAAGAACATTTTTTCCTCTGTCAATATACTTTATAGGGAACTCCTCAAGTGGAAACGTTTTAATTTAACCTGGTGTAATTTTGTAAAAAGTATCTTTTTTAGAATCTTTGACTATAGGATTATCAATCAAAAAAATTATGATCGACAGATGAATCGATTTGCAAAATAAGTTTGTTGCCGCCCTTATTATAATTTTGCAGTAAATGTTATAAATCCCTGATTACTAACCTGAATGATGGCTTATTGACATCCATTAAGTACCAATCAATGAAGACTGAGGGGTAATTTATAAAGCAGCTCAACTATCTTCAATATTTAAAACAATCTTGTTTTATTTCTGCAAAATCATGGCAAAATAAAGGTTAATGTCCTGTTATTGCTTTAATTTAATAAAGAACCCCAGACTGGGGTCAGAAGGTTAAAAGCATCACTTGGCATCACTTCTTCACTGATGCTGAAGATTGTAAGATTGCCTTTAGTCATTTTCTTGTTGAATCAAAAGCACTGATTAAAACTAAAAATGCATCAGGTCATAACGGTTTTTTTTCTACATTTAGGGTATATGAATACAGTGTATTGACTTGTAAACATCTAAAAATAGAAATAAGTGCATTTGTATCTATCTGCAGATGTGCAGTCAAGGCATATAAATAATGATTCCCCAGCTTTTGCCTTAGTTGCAGAATACAGACAGATTGTTTTATTGAGCTGATTTGAGTTTAGTCTAGAAAGCTCTGCAGGTAAACATTGTGTTTAAAATTTTCTCCAATCATACATTTTAGTTTAAGATTTTAAAGAGAAATTCAGGTTTAACATTTCTTTTTTATTTGCTATCATGTCAGTCAGACCTAAATGACAAACGGTCTGATTTCACCTTCTGATACTTGTGACCAAATATTTTTAAAAGCAGCAGCAGGTTTCTACAGAAACATATTTTTTTTTGTTCCACCCGTTTTTTGATTGCATGTAGGTGTCGTCTTGATACATTTTCTTCTTTCCTCTGTAGTCTGGCAGTCAGGAGAACCTCACTGTCGACTCTCCTCGCCTCTCCACTTCTTCTGAGCACGCTCAGAAAGATCGCTCGTCTACTAAGGGCCGAGGCATTTTACGCTCCAGCAGTGGCAAAGCGGCACCAGTCAGCACCGACCGGTCTCTGAAATCCTCAGGACAACCCGGGCGCCCGAGCCTGAGGAAAGCTGAGAGCACCCGCGTCAAAGGCTCCGCCCCCATTCGCTCCAGCCTCTCCTCCCAGGGGAAAGCCACGTCCGTCTGCGAACGCCTGGACTCTGCCTCCTCCACGCTTCCACGGGCCAGCAGCGTCATCTCCACAGCTGAAGGTACCACAAGGCGCACCAGCATCCACGACCTGCTGTCCAAAGACCACCGTCAGCCTGTGTCTGTTGATGCTTCTCCTCACGTCCCCTCCCCCAAGGCTGGAGTACGCTCGCAGCCGAAACCCAGTGAGTACTACCCCAACAGCACCTCTTTGAAAGGACCCCTCTCCGCCACCTCCCCAATGCCCAAATCTGTCAGCTTACCCTGCAGCAGCTCAGAGGACCCCGACCTCGACAGCTTCGAGTCTTTCCTCGGCCCCTCCTTCACTGTAGAGTCAGTGTTCATGGACTCCATCTTTAGTGAGTCAGCAGAAAATCTCCCCTTCCTGTCGCTGAACCCCACCCTAGTCAGCAACATCAGTGGTCCCCCAGCCCCAAATAAGAGCCAACCTCATCCGGGGCTGAACCAGAGCCCACACTGCCAGTCCAATGGCCAGATGAGATCCAGCTCAGGCAGCCTGGCAGAATGTAATGATGGTATGGATCCCAACAGGATCGCCAATTCAGAGCAGACACTGAGCCCAGAGGAGAACCAGTCTCTGTGGTATGAATACGGCTGTGTTTGATTCACCCGAAGCTTCCTGACGTGATGATCACAGCCCCTAAGAGCTGGAGAATGAGATCATTGATGAACAAACCTCTTTCCTGCATGTATTCATCGCAGCACTATCTTTTGATTCGGTGCATTAAGGTTATTTTCTGTTTTTCATGGTGCTGAATGCTTTGGTTTTTCTCTTTTCTTTTACCCCGTTTTTGAGTTGGGACTTAAAATTTTCCATCCAAAGGCCTTTTCTGTTTTTTCCCTCTGCTGAAATTGTAATACTGCAAATATCCAGTTATATTTCCAGATGTGAGGCCTGAATTGGCTGATACTTTGGGAAAGATCCATTTAGATCAGCAAAACCTTTTTCTGTCACAAGTAACTGTCTCAGTTTGTCCTGTTCTAAACTCACCTCCCACTTTATGGTATTATTTAATCTAAATGTTTTTTCATGGTCTGTTGTTCTGCATTGTTCACTAAGTTGCATGGCTTTGTTCTGTCAGCCTGATTTCAAACGTTGATTTTGATCTTGAGAATCAAAATGGATTTTAAGCTTTTTTTTTTGTTTTGTTGCACGGTTTGTTTTGTGCATTCATTGTATTTTCTTTTGGGGTTCTTTCTTGGTTTCAATGTGTGCATATATGTAAACTGGAGGCTTTATCGGGTGGGTGTCTGATTATGGTGTGGTGGGCTCTAACTAACATGTGGGGCTGGTGACAAAGGGATGAAGTTCTTGCTTAAAATGATCTCTGGGATGTCATTAGTGGGACAAGTGAAAGTTGACAGTGAAGGTACCGGATTGTTGGAACATCTTGGTGAAAATCATTTTTCACTTTTCTGCAGATTTTGATATAATATGGATGATAAAGGCTGCAAGTGTTGGATTGTTTTATCAATGAAGGATGTATCATTGTTTTTTTTTTTTTTGCTTTTTGATTTTTTTGTTATATATATACTGCCCTTATTTACCACATTGCGGCCATGTTTTGTATAAAGTTGGTAATTTATAATCAAAGACAAGCACTGCTTATCGTGCCAAACTTATTAAAACTTTGCAGTTAGATTTTTTTATTTATTAGTTGCTATTTATGCCAATGGCGAGTCGGTGCATTTCTGAAGTTATTGAAAGTCTTCTACGAGATGTAACAAACATTGCTTTTGTCCTACAGATCTGGAGGGCAGAAAGTCTAAAAGCAGGAGCGGGGAGCCGCAGCAAAGCTGCTGAGCTCGGCCCCTGCCACCCTCGCCTGCCTGCTTCCATGCTGCGAGCGCGTGGTGAGTGAGCAATGAGAGAGTGGGATGGAAAAAATGGCCGGGAAGGGAGGGTGGGTCAGTTTTGTCACCATGGAAACCCTACAACGTGGTCGTGTAACAGATGTCTCCCATCATGCTGTGCACTGCTCCCCCTGCTTCACTCAGCTGTTCCCTGTAAGCCCCGCCCCCTTTCCCTTCTGCTCCTGCGGTGCCCAACTCCTCCCAGGTCCTGATGGGACCCGGTCAGCTTGGCATATGGTCCATTTTACTCCTCTGCCTGTTGTCTTCCTCACCAAGTGAAGCACAGTGTCCATCCTCCATGCTGTGTCCTGTGTTGGTGTAAATGATGGGACTCCTGGCTCTTTATCAGGCTGCTTCTCACTGCTGCATGGCTTTGCTGTAATGCTGGATCCTTCCCCTTTTGCATGTAGACCCAGGCTGGCTGCTGCTTCTCTTTCTCCCCTTGTTGCAACCATGTTTTAATGCAGTAAAAAGTATGTTTTGTTCTATTTGACTGTAGATTTTTCTTTTTTTTTTCTAACCAGTGATCTTTCTTTTTTTCCAATTCTTTGCACTCCTCTTTGCTTGTTTGGCACTCAGAGAAAGGCCTTGGAGCTGTGTGTCTGGAGCTTTGTAGAGCTAAGCTGCAGCCGTCTACAGTGAGAAAAGATTGTTTGTCCCAGATTCAACTTTTTATTTAGGAGATTCAGGACACTTTAGTGAAAAAAGTGGCTTCCTTCTCTGTTTTCTTTTTCCTTGAATCAAGGAAGCTACAGTAAAGTAAAAAATATCGCTTTGACATTTTACCCCTTAAAGACTGTGACAGATTATTCTGCCATTTTAAACCAATGTGGCAGATCTCTAATGTGCACTAGTCTGATTGAAGTGCCAATGTTAACACAACAGCCAAAAAGGAAATCTCAACCCTGATCCAGGACTCCTTCCCAGATCTACGCATCCTTCAAGCCTGAAGCCATCACTACATAGTTTAAACAGGAAGACCACAAAAACAATGTGAAGCATGTCTGCACAAAAAAAAGCTTCTGTTTTGGACTGAAGAATCACAGTCTGCATGGAGCAATCAATCATTCCACTTTCTTTATCCAATCAAGGAGGAGGATTGTGAAGTTTTGAAACACAGTGGGACATAAAGCCATGACACTTAAGGTTGTTTGATTTGAGAGAAAGAGACTGATCCCGGGAATGTTCAGGTCACCTAGGAGACGGTTTGTGACCCGAAACACCTTTTTTCTCTTCTAAAATCCTCCATCGTATACAGTTAACCCCTTGGTAATCAGTCATAGTTCCTCTCCTGCTCTAACGTACAGAAATCACAAACTGCTCCAGTCTACCTGGGATGGAGGTGACCTGCACACTACATTTCTGTTGTGTTCAACATGATGGTGACAATGAGACCCAATGTTTTTTCTCCTTTTTCCACTTTTACATGTCTCCATTTGATGTAATTAAAATTCATCAAGACCACTGTTTATGCCTCTTCATTTATGCAGCGCAGCGATTGTAAGGAATGTTTTAATAACATCGGATTGTTGGTCCCAAACTTATCAGACGTGCCCGAGTCGAGACTTCTGAGTCGAGCCATATGGTTTCTTATCATGCCATCAAGTTCTCATCATTGGATTTTTGAGTTTGAAATCCTGAACTAAAAAAACTTTGGAGACCTTTCTGAAACGAAATGTGTGAAGACATTTTGAAAAAAGCAGAAATTACATGTAAAGAGTTTTTATTCTGTATGTTTGTGTAAAAAGAAATCCATTGGGTTTAGGCTTTATTCTCTGATTAAAGACTTTTAATTATCAATGTTGAAAAAGCAAGTACACAAATGGCAACTTTTTTTAAAAGCGATTTTCAAATGGTCATTGAAAAAAAATCTTAAACTGAAAGCTTGTCTGAGCTGTTCTAATAGTTTATCCCATATATTGTTCAGCTGTTTTAAATTCTAATTTCAAAAATTACAAATATAATCAGTTTATTTCATAAGGGATTCTGACCAAAAGGTTTCTTGAAGGTTTAAAGTTCAATATGAATAGGATTAGGAAATGTACCACTCATTTACCATTTTAATATGACTATTGATCAGTGAAATTTGCTATGGACCTATTAAAAACCTTCCACTGATGATGGGTCCTGTAGCAAACCTGTAAAAGATGGAAAAGAGTTGGTTGCTACAGACCTCCACAACAATGGTGCGTTAGGAGCTTCATGGATCCTATGCAATAAGTTTCATACTCCAGTCAAATGGGAATGTTTTCCAACATACCAATTTTATGAAGAACTTACACCGACAGGACCAAAGCGCTGTGCATAATGATAAAATACAATGCAATCATAAAACATGACAAATCCTCACTTTATCCTTGTGGAAAACATCAGAAGATATTGTTCTAATTTGACCCCTTCATGCATAATGTTGAAAATATGCAACAAACCATTTGCATTATATAAACGGCAAAGATTGTGTAGAAATTCCTCCCAATTCCAGTTATTACAGTCTGCACAGAACAAGGAACCTTTGGCTCACTCGCTTCCGGTTCAACTGATCCCCGTTATAAAATGTAACTTGTCACAAATTTAGAATATTTGTGTTTATTTTTAGTGCAATAGTCAAAAAGCCTACCAGAAAAACAATGTACTCAAGTCTTCATATCGACAGAATCAAAAGTAGAGAAACTACTGGCCTTAATTTTGGTTTATTACAATTTTTTTTTCTTGACAGTGGCTTCATTTCGTGCATTTATTAGCTAATTCATCTCACAGCAGGCTCTGCCATGCTCTCCTCTGGCTAAGTTTTTCTTTAAAACTTTTGTAAGATTTTTTGTTACCGTAGTAAGTGGAGAAAGTAAAAGCAATAGTTGCTTCAAGAACAGGCCCAAGAGAAATAGGAGGCTCACAACAGGGATCAGTCAGACTGATGTCAAATTCAAGTTAATTACTGATCCTACTTATGAAACTGTGCAGTCAAGTTCAGCTTAACAGTTCAACTGTCAAACCAAAAGTTTACCATCGAAGGAAAACCCAGATGCTCATAGTAACAGACTGATAGGTAGCCCGATCCTATGGATTAAATGATTTCAATTTCATGTAAAGCCAACCAGCAATTATTTTTTTCTCAAAATACTGCATCTTGCAATCTAATCCTCTATTAAAAAACTTTACACAATTTTACTTTAATTCACATAATGTAAATATGTTGGTGTCAGTCCTAGAGGTGAGCTGAGCCTTAACTGCAGAACAGTCATCAGTAATTTAAGACAAAACAAGCACAAATACCCATTTCATAGAGATCTACACATTTATCAGGTATTATTTTTTTCCTCACACACAAAAATTATGTAATTTTGAACCTTAACTAAACTGAACAGTGAATTAGTTACAACTGACCTAACAGAAGGTTTATATATTTTTTCCCCTTTACACCAAAAAGGTATTTTCTGTTGGAGGAATAATGTGGCTTAACTGTTCATCAATCAAAACTGATCAATATATCCTTTTTTTTATTATTCTGTCCACTGTAATGCTTTGACCCAACCAATATACTGTTCAACTCTATATTAAGAATCAGGACATGTTAATCAATAAACTGTTTAATTCAATGAATAATGAATTCGTCTCAAATGGCTCCAAAAATCTTCTGCAGTTATTTTTCTTGCTAAGAAGACTTGCTGGTTATCAAGTAAAATAATACAAAAACATTTTTATTTTATCAGCATTTTTATTTATATCATCATGCAAAAATCCAGCATCCATTTCAGTTTAGACACATGTAGCCCCTTCTTTTTATGAAGTCACAATGCAACATTATTTACTTTAAAAGGAGCACAATCAGGCTAAGGCTTCAGCTAATCTTTAACACATTTGTATGTGAAATAACACTATTCTTTATATCTCCATTTTATAACTTGGAGGATGCAGATAACAAATTTCAACGTCTTTATCAAGTCAACAGTGAAAAATTACCAGAAAGTAGACATACATGCATATTTCTTCCTTTTGTAAAACTGCATATATAGTGTTCAGATTTTTTTCCCCACCCGATATATTTGTAGCATTTATTCCATTTTACTTTACAGTTTTCAAAATAATCATATTTTCAACATTTGTCAAAGTATTTAGTTTGAATGTTGCCATTTGGGTTTTCAGGGTGAGTTTATTTTTTGTATTTATTTTTCATTTGGCTTTAAGTCTCAGCGTGGATGGTGGAAACTTTTGGGTGGGTTTGCTTATGCAGAGATTAAGATTTAAATAACAGAATCTTTTAAAGGTCTGGATGTTTATATATTAAACATTCAGACTGTTAATTGGTGTATTTTACCATCTGTGTATGACACTGATTCATATGAACTAAAAATTTCTATCTAATCAGTTCTTGAGCTAGGTGGTCAAACTCTTATAACCCTCACAGGACACCATAAAAATCAAGCTTTAAAGTCTATTTTTGTGCTCTTATTTATTTTATTTATATAATTATTTTACGACCATGTGGGAAACTAAATGGAGAGAATTGCTTCCTGTAGATAAAGAGGAGCATCACCCTTGAATCATGGCAAATGACTGGTTAAAGTAACAATTGACGAGAAATTAAAATCAGATTTATGGCCAAAAAAAAAAAAAAACTGTAAAAGACAAGTGTGCAAAAAATCTCTGCAGTATCCAAAGAAGAGAGTTGATGAGTTTATATTTCTATTGAACTCAAAATAAGACTTTGTTCTAAATACTTTGACAAATGGTTTCTCACCTACTACAGGTTCAAAGGGGGTGTCCTATGAAACGGGTTTAACAGACAGAAAATTGGTGTGACGTGGCTTTTATACAACATTTGCACATTCTGTATAATTCCATTAAATTCCACAGAAATTTTGATTTTTCACTATAGTTTCCCTACAAATGGAAGTCTTCTCTGTCCTTATAGTGGTGCAAGCAGCACTGATAATAAAATGAAAAATATATTTTAGAGCTAAAAACTAAGTCTTACCTATTTTCAAAGGCTGCTAAATTATTAAAAATGAGCCCAATAAATAGGTAGATAATTACATAGTGTTTGTAGTACATCTATGTGAAATGGGGAGTTAACAGGCAGACCATCTCAGTTGTGGGCATTTTATTTTACTGGATAAGAAAAGATGTTTAGCTGTGGCTTTTGTTTGTTAGTATTTGTTTTATCTCTACAAACGAATCAGCTGATATTCACTGATCACATTATTTCTTATCACACTTTCTTTCCGGGTGGATATTGTGTTAGGCATCATGTTAGTGTTCCAGATGTAATGCCATCACTCCTCAGCCATTAAAACAATAAATCATATTCCTTAATATCTGGCATTGTGAAATGTCATTGTGTGCATCAAACCACAACAGAATTGAAAAGATATCCACCTTTAAAGCAAAAAAAAAAAACAATGCATGTATACTTTTAGGTTTTGTTTCTGGAAAAGATACTGACCTATAGCTGAAGAGGTTGGGATGGGAACTGCAGATGAAGTTCAGCACAACCATAATGAGCTGAAAAAATTATTTAATTGATTATGGTTTCTTTTCTTAGCTTTAAATGTATCAGTTAAAATTACACTGTCTTTGATATTAGACCCGATTTAATTTACTGCCACTATGGTGCTAACTCTACAAATATTTACCTTTAGCAGCATGAAAGTTTTCAGGGCAGGTCAAACTGAAATGTAACTGTTTCCTTTTGTTTAACCAATATTTATAATTTGATACCCGTTTCTGCTTTTTGGGCCAGCATTAGAAAATAAGTAGCTCTTAATTGGAGTTTTCCGTTCAAACATGACCTTAAGCTGTGCAGGTTAGGGTTCAAATAAGGTCAGTTTCGAATCCATTGGTTATTGCTTCGTAGAACACCCCTTTACTCTCAAGCTAACATCTTAAATGTACTGCAAAGTCCTTTTTTCCCCATCATAACATTCCCACAAGAGTCTGGGAATTCACCCTCATAATAATAAAAAAAAATAAAAAATATTTGGTGGCATCAACACACAACCAGGCTGGTGCCCACAGCACATACAAGATACTCAGAAGCATTAAAAAGAAAAAAGAAAAGTCACACAGATTCTGATTTACAAAGCGCCGTGCTGCAAAGAGTGAAGACAGTTTCCATGGCATCTGGGATACGTCGACCGGACAGAAGCACAGGCAGTTTCTACAATAAGACGAGGCTCACTGTTTCTTAAAAAAAAAAACATGTTCGTTCAACTGCTATAGCGCACAAGTTACCAGGCTGGTGCAGGAAGGACACCCGACAAAGCCTCTGCTCATGTGCTGGTACAGATTCACACAACGCTTGGAGACGACAAACACCGACACATATGTGCGTTTTTTTCCTTTTCCAAAGAGAGAACATTTGATCTGGTGTGCTTCTGTCATGTTCCGATTGGAAGAGTCCATTTATCAACTTCAGCATTCTTCTGCTAATGTTTTCCTGTTGAAAACATTTGTTTTTCTAAGCTTTAAAACATTAAAATGCAAACATCAAAACATCTAAGACTACAACATTTAGAACAGAGACGGATAAAAAGGACCAAATCCAACTGACTGGTGTCGGCGGAGGTCCTGATAGTAGCCCTCTTTCCATCGAATCCCTCAGCTGCAGACTGTTGACAAAACTTTTTATTTTTTACATTACCAGGACTTCACATTGAAGTACAGAAAGCCAAGGTGGACAATATACAGTAAGAACACCACCAAAACAAGAGACGCGTGCGGGAGAGGTTCTCCATCACAACAATCAGACTGCTTCCATGGAAGTCATTGATGGAAGGAGGAGGGCAGAGGTAGAGTGAGACGGTGGGGATTTGGCAAGCCTAACCTGAAGTTGCAGAAAGGTTTGCTCCTTCAGCGGAGCAAACACAACAGCAACAAGTCTTTAAGTGTGCAAAAAACAGTCCAAGCCGGTGGATAGTTGGAGAAATCATGCTTCACCTCAAAATATGCAAACTGAAAACCATGGTTGGACATTTTAAGGAGCTTCAAAATTTCACTGACAGCACCACCTTGTGTTTGGATCAAAACACCGCATACCAAACAGATTCTTCTGCAACTTCAGGATGAGCTGGCCTTGAACTAGACTTAAGAGAGCAGAGGAATGCGACTGTGTTTGTGCATGCATGTTGTCTAGTGATATCTTTGTATTTACATCTACGGACCTAAAAAAACAAACAAAACAAAAAAACTGCACAGTATCCCTCCTACATCCAGAAAGCACATTCCCCCTATTTTCCTCTATATAAATATCTCTTTATAGACACTTCTATTAAATAAAATCCAATTTTATTAAAAAATGAACTCAAAATGCTTAAAAAAAGAAAAAAAAAAATCAATCAGGATACAACATCAAGTTCTCAACACATGCTCCAAAAATGCTCAAACTAAGGATCCCTTCAGTAACATCATGTTTAAACACTGACTCCTGGCATTAAGCACATACTAGTCACTCATTCCCATGAACCTTACGAGCACATCGATAAACCAGTTAAGTAAAACACAAACAATACTTGCATTAAAGTAAACAACTTTCTTCTCTGCTCAAGCAAAAGTGATCACATTATACCAAATATCACAGCCCAGGAATTTTTTTTAGGTAATTATAAGTGTTAATATTTCTTACACTCAGATAAATCTGAGACTGGGAGAAAAAGGCTGTGTGAGAGCAGGATAGCATCACCGTTTTGTAGCCATTAGAAGCATGCACCCTCTGCAAGGCAGGGCCCCACCAGCTGGGGCCCCTATCATCATCTACTAATGGATGGACTGGATTGGTGTTGGTCAGTCATTTACTCAGGCTTTTGAAACATTTTTTTTTTTCTGTGTGTGTTCAGGTGTTTGTTTGTTTTGTTTTTTTTCAGGGGGAGGGGTTTCCTTTTCATAGATCGTAATATTTTCCCCACTTTTGAGTTTTCCGAGCAGCCTTGACCCAGTCAGGATCCAGGCTCCACTCCGACCTCGGAGGGTAAAGTAGCTTCAGAGTTTAGGCAAACCTGCGGACAAAAACGGAAAACATTCATCTTAATCCAGCTAGATGACTTCAAACTGAACAATAACGGGGTCTAAGGGTCAAAAAAGCTAATCAAATTTAAACAAACTCAACTCCCTCTACTAATATTTAGACATTTGTTAAAATCAAAAAACAAAACATGTACTCTGTAGTAATAATCTCATAGCCAAAGGTTCCTTAAAGAATATTTTTTACAAAATTAAACCAGGTGAAACTAATTCTTTTCTACATGAGGAGCTCTGGATTTTTTCATCTTCAATGCAAAATTTTTATCACATTTTTTTTTACAGTTTTAGTATAATTACTGCTCTAGGTGGGTTGCTCGGTCAGCTAAAGGTATGTTTTAAAGTCTTGATGCCCAAGTTAACCATTAATCGATTACTAAATTACTTTATTATTTCACTAATCGATTTATCACGATTAATCCGATTAATTGTTTCAGCCCTATATTCAACAGAAAATTCCTATCAAATGCAAACGTATGTAATCAATTAAAGCTTTTCTCATTAGTTCACTGTGGCGGTCAACAGTAGGAACACTATTGTGGTTACGAAAAGAACTCCAGACTCTGGGTGATGCTTAGCTTGATCCAAAAAACATCAAAGGTGTATGGACACTTAAGCGAAGGCTGTGGTCCCAATTTTACTAGTCATTCATCTGTCTGTCTGCTGTGTAATGATGGCCGTAGGGTTTAAGGCTACCCAGAGCTCTTTTCCTAGCTATAAAATGAGCTAGAAGCTACAACTTGAGGTATTCGGATCTGGCTCTTATCAAAAATAACAATGGTTGAAAAAAACCCCCCACAATCTTTGAATGGATACCTTGATAAATGGAATACCTTTACTGCTGTCAAATGTGATATATAAAACCAAATCTAGAAATGCAGAATTAGCTACTTTAATGCTGTCTGCTTCATATTATCACCTCTGGATACAGCCTCACCTGGGCCTGGATTTTCCGTTCACTGCAGCGGTGCCGCCGGTGCTCCTGAACAGTGGAAGTGAACGTTGAGCCACTTGGCGTCGCGCCGATGCCACACACGGGTCTCTTCCGACTGGCAGGAGCGCGGTCGGCCTTGGCCGTCGATGTACTGCGTCAGACGGATGTAGGCGATGCAGGCAGCATCTTCGCCAATCAGGTGCACGTGGGGGTTGAGGATGGTGGTGTGCACCGGTTTGCTGTTTTTACTCAGGACTACGTGAAAACAAAAGAGCAAAACTCTTACTTAAGGGAATAAATAAACTGACAGATTCAACATGGCAGTTAGATAAGAAGAGAAACTGTAATGGGAAGCTTTGTGTTTACATCTTAAAGCTTTCTATCCCAGATTTTTTATTAAGATAACTAGGAACAAACACTTTAACGTTCCCATGGAAGGAAACTCCTTTTTTCATAGAAAACAATTGTTTTATAAGCCACATACAGGAGAATCATTCTTCTGCAAATATGTTGCATTAAAAAAAGTCTTAATGTTAATACAACATATATTTATATATTCCTCATATTTCTATAAAAAAATTAACATTTAAACATTTCTTTCTTTTGAAAAATCAAAACAACGGATAACATGAAAACTTTCTAAGCCATGGGAGTCTTTACTAGTTCTCTGATCAGTGCTTCCTTAACTGAGCACAACATGACTGCAGCTTGAGGATAACAATGTTGCTTTAACACCCCCCTGCTGTGTTCTGTATTGTGAAAAACATTTAATAATATCAATATATTTAACAATATTTTTTTTCCCCTATAGGGGATTTAGACAATTGGAATAAAACAATATTTTGGATATAAATAACTAATATATATGGGTTTCTCTTAAACCATTTAATTCTTCCTTCATTTAAAAAAGAAAAGAGTAAAACTAAAAGAAAGGTAAAATATTCATGTTGGTTATTTTTACTAATTTAACAACAGAAAACAATTTTTTATATAAAGAAAAACAAAGATCTAATTCTCTCAGGCATCTCCAAAGACGCTGCTCAAGGGCCGTTGTCCTGCAGATTTTAGAGGTTTCCCTGCTCCAGCACAGCTGATTTATATTGATAGTTGATTAACAGGCTTTTGCTGAACTGCATTCATCAGAATCAGCTGTGCTGAAGCAGGGAAACCTCTAAAACCTGCAGGACAGCGGCCCCTGAGGACCGACTTTGGGGATGCACATCTCACACGGACTGGGATGAAAGTACTGATTCCCCACTGAGACGTTCTTCTTCCTCTATTACCAGCAGCACAACTGTATCATTATTTCTATCTGTCTCTACATCCCCAGAAAAAAGCAGACAACTTTCTGTGGATAAAATATCAGGCTACAGTAAAGTGACGCCAGTAGCACAGAGTAAAAACTTCAAAAGGAGGAACTTACGATTTTCAAAGTAGAATTTGTGAAAGTCCATGCCTTCCACCAGGTTTCCAAGAGCCTCAGGCTCAAAAGAAGTCAGTCCAGGATCACAGATTCTCCTGAAGGAAGGAAAATAAGCAAATAAACCCAGAGGAACCAAGAAATGCCAAAACAACATTATAAACCTGAATTTATTCTAGAGATGATAATCAATAAAACTTGCGTGTAGGCATCGAAATCCCCGTTGTTGATGGCTTCAATCAGCTGCTCAGTCATCTTAATTATCTCTTGCTTCCGAGCTGAAAACAGGAAGGAGGGGGGGAGCAGGAAACCGGAAACATTATGGAGGGTCAGAACCCATCTGGAGGTCAAACATGCACACACCACATGCTCCACCTCAGCACGCGGCATTAGGAAAAACTCCACTGATGAGGGCATCAGCTTCCCCACCCTGGGTGCATCAAATCCAACACAAAAACACCTTCTGTCTCTCTGTTTAAGAAAGTGCACTCAGATACCAGAAATGAGGTAAATGAGATAGAAAATACCCACATAGGTGCGCATTTGAGAAATTAGAGCTCAAACATTAAACAAGAAAAGCATAAAAAAAATAGTTTTTGGTAATTAGATGCAGGTCTAAGACCAGAGAGAAACTACTAAAACAAGTGCAGGAATGTCTGGACTCGACAAAAAAAAGGCTTTGCAAGGGGCAAGTAAAGCTCCAACAAACCACGGCACACAGGCCCCGTCACTAACTCGCCTGCAGCTGGAAGTCACGTGCTGGGTTTGACTGATCGGAGCCCAGAGCCAAACCAGTCTGAGCTGCAGCGTCAGTGAAGCTGCTTCTGCCTTCCTGTGGGGAACCAGCTGCATATCACATGCAGTCGGTCCAGATAAAGTTGAAGATATGCAGAGCCTCAAAGCTTTGCATGATAAATCAGTCAGTTAAGCACACAGGCCATTTAGAGATGGACGTTAAGATTTAGAGAGCAGCAGATAACTGCAGCCATGTCAGCATGCCAGCAGATGGCGACACAGGACAGGGTGGATGAAGGAGGGAAGAAAGAACATACTTATTTACCTCCTCCTAATAAGTGCATTTTCTACATTGGTTTCAGGGTAGAAGTGAGGTTGAAGAATTGCTGCTGGTAGTTAAAGGAAGCTGACAGTAACTTACAGTACAGAAGGGCATAGAGGTGATCAAATCTAGGCCTGTTCCTCAGCAGAGCTGCACTGCCCTGCTGCTGAACTCTCTGCACCAGCAGTCTGAACAGCGGCCAATGCTTTTTTTTTTGTTTATGCCCCCCCCATCCTGAGATAAACAAAAACAAACACAGATACGTACTGACAGCGAGCCTGCAGACGACAAACAAGGCTGGAGGACAAAAATATCTTAGCAGGTCATTTCGAGATGACATAATAGGAAACAAACAGCAAAATCCCAGCAACACTGCAAACCAGCCAACAGCATCATGCTTAACCGGCTTCATCCTGACCTTTGGACCAGAAACTGATGAAAACAGAGGTTAGAAAATACAATCAGCTTTCAGGTTAGTCCCACTCGACTCGGCTTTGGTCCCTACTCACAGTGGCCTCCAATGATGCAGATTCCCTGCTTCCAAGAACTGAATTAACTCCTTCACATCTCTAGTTCTGTAGATCTGCAGCAACGAGTCATTAATTCTAAACAGATGTGTGGCGATGAGGAAACAGGGCAGAATCTACAACGATCAGGATTGGTTTTTCAAAAAAGATCAAACCTATTAGAGACGTGAATCAAAATTATAGTTCAACGTATTTCATTTAGATTATGCTTACACCAACTTACACAAAGTAGATTATAGTTTTGGCGTTTCAGTAAAACTATACACTTATCAAAATCAGAAGTGTGCCACACATTCTTTTCAATACCTTATAACCCTGTTCCTCCTTAAAAGTGTCTAGCCACACAACTTGCTCTCAGCAGTTGCAAAATTTATCATTTAAATTCATTTGTTCTGTAAAAACTACATTTATGGGGACATATTAGTGAAAAAAAAGCATAATTAAGGCCAAGGAACAGATGCAATGGCTCAGGGAGTACTTTGTGGGGACCTATAAAGGATTAAAAAACAAGATCTGAAGCTCTTAACATCTTATAAGGTTGAATCATCTGAAAATGGAAACAGGACAACTTCAATCCCAGTAAACCACGACTTTCCACCTAAACTGACAGCAGGATGAGTTTAGCGTTAAAGATGTCTTATAAAGGGAAGTTTGGTTTGCACTTTAGCACAAGCTATATAGGGGTCACAGTAAATGTGTTGGAGCAAGATCTTTTTTTCTCTTAATGACCCATCCAGGATGCATAATTTCCACTGTCAGACACAGTAGAGGCAGCATCATGCAGCAGGGATTTTATTTAGAAATGAAAGAGGAGCTGAATCCAAGAGGGAAAACAGTTTGAAGCAGCCAAAGACTAGAGACAGAAGGTCATTTTCAAGTCTTTTTGGTTAACATCCCATAAAGTTATACATTCTTCACACTTCAACTTAAAAAAAAAGCAAATTAAAAAACATAATAGTAAACTCCGAAGTCATGTGTCAACATACTACGCTTAGTAACACTATCTTTTAGAAAAAAAACAATAATTAATCCGCTCAACTAGCTGTGAAACATGTGGAAAAAAACAAATATTTTTAGAAGTTATTATTTTAAAAGTGAGCCTTTTAATAATTTATCTATAAAGAAAGACACTAAAACACATAAATATGAACAGCCAAACATGTTTAGGAAAGGAGGAAACCTTTGACCTTTAGTGGCACAAAAACTAAATGCATGTTTTTTTTTTTGTTCCAAAACATTTTCAGAAATCAGGGTAGAACTGATCTGTACGGCGTCATGTTTTTTGTTTCACATTGAGCAGACAAAAGGAAACCACTTACATGCAACACTTATCTTTCCTGTGATGCTCATCATACTACAAAGCCCCCCGCCCCCCCAACCCTGCAAGACTCCCAGCCCTCACATAAGCTCTTTGTTGTGAAATAAGAGTTGACAGTTGTCTTAAAACACCAACCCTGCAGTCATGCATTACCTCAATACAAAGGCAGGGAACAAATTGTCATTTTTCTATCCCTCTGATCTGAAAAGGCTATAAAGTGAAGTAAAAGAAGCATGCATAGAATGTGAAAGTTGGACAAGTACCTTTCCTACCTTTCATCTCCTCCTCTTCTGCGTTATTACAGCTCTCTGTGGAGCCCTGTCAAACACAAAGGGTTCACACAGAAAGAGACGGGGACAAAAGGGACGAGGAGAGTGGGAGGAAAGAGAAAAAGCAAAGTGTTTCTTTGATCCTGAGTTATTTGACTGAGACATGATTGACAGCTCTGGACACACTGCCTATAAGGACACAGTCAACCTGATGGACAGATGGAGGGGTGGATGTCTCCCTCCCAGGAGCACAAACCAGCAAAAACAACGGCGAGGTGAGGGGACATGCTCAGAGCTGCACACACGATTTGATTTTTTTAAATCACAAATTAAAATGTTGAAATAAATGTCTGGCTGCATGTTAGTTTCACATGTCGGGTGAAGGTCTAAGAATAGAGTCAGTAGGAAAAAATGACTTACAAGCTTGTAAACTAATCTGAAAGAATTTTGTCTTCATAAAATCTGACAGGAATATTTTCACTGGGCATTTGGTGCAGTTAAAGAAAATCTGTGGAAGTTTTCTATGCAAGCAAAGGTGAAAGTGTCATTAAAAGTAAGTAAAGCAGCATCTATGAGGATTTTTTTATTATTATATTGAGTAAGAGAACCTCAGCATTTTTTTAAATCTCATATTTATCAAACTATGGTGCTGATTTATAAAGAATAAAACATGACTTTATTGTGTGAAGTATTCCATAAACAGCTGGACTTTAGGCATAATCCCAGTTAATAGGTTAATACTGTGAATGTAGCCCTGCTAATGGGTGACTTCATTTCAGATATTTACAGTAAATGTTTAGAATAATTTAGGTAGGTTATAAATTTAAATAGTCATGGTAAAGGTTACAAAGAGGTTGGGGGCTTCTTGATACTTTTTTGCTTTATATAAAGTCAAGCTATAAAAGTTTCTCATATGTTTGATATAACAAAGTGGTTAAATCCCCAAAAACTGCAAGAATTATAAAAGAAAAAGGGGCAAAGCAACCAGGACTCACAGGTTAACAATTAAGCAAAATAAAGTCATGAGATATGCAAATATTAGACTAATAATATTAGAAATGTATTCTTAAATCAGCCCTGCTCTCCAATTTAACATCCCTCTAATTGCCAGTCAGATACTACTTCTAATTACTGAAGGCTTACTTTAACTAGGGAGATTATACAAATTACATAAGATTTAAATATTCTAAATCAATCTTAAGAAAGAGGGAACACTTTATAAAACAGAGTCAAATCTAGGACTTTTAATTTTTGTGCATTTTTATCAGCAATCTGTGCTCTGATCGTTAATTCAAGCCGGTGGCTTCAGGTTGGAGAAGGAGCGGCTTACCTTGGTGCCGTCTGTTGGGTTGTGTACAACTGTTGTCTGGGCTTCCTGGTGGGAGGATGGAGACACTTTACCATGCAGGGAGGGAATGAATGATGCCAAGGAATACCATCATATTCCACGATGACAGACACACCAAACAATCCCATGTGCAAAAACAGTAAGGCACAACAGCTACAGCACAGAGGTTGAGAGACTGTTTGCAGTATTTCATTAAAGCGCTCAGTTTATTCCCCCTTCATGGTCAACGGGATGATTTTAGTATAAAACACACAAAATCAGACGCATACAAAAGTACACATATTCACCAACTGAGGTCATGACTGAGGAGGAGGGTTCTGTTGGATTTGAATTAGATTTCATGACGTGTGCATTTAACCTGAAAGTCTCATCAGAAGCTTATTAATCATAAACACTTCTGTCAATATCAAAGTTGGAACAGGCACATTCAGATTGGTGTAGTACAAACTCTTTATTTTCTCTGTAGTTACATCCTTTCTTTACGGCTAGTTTTAGGTTAAAGCTGGATAACATCTCTATTTAATAGAGGAGCCAAGTCATTTACAAGAAGCATGTATTTACTAAAGAAAAGCCTCTTATTCATCATTCATCTTAATCGTCTGCTTTTCCTCCTCTTGGCAGAAACCTGGAAAGAAAATGAACTATTTTGCACCAGTCTTCCAAAAGATTGGTGGTACTTAAATTTTCAGCAAGCATCCATCTGAAATCTGCATATTGTTTTTTTGTACTTTGTGTCAACCCTGTTTGTTTAACAACTCCTCTTTCTCAGCCTGGAGCCTGCCACCGGAACATTCAGCACAAAGACGTTCAAGAGCTCCACACATCAAGAAAGACAGAATCCACAGTGTTCTAGTGTAGCTGCACACCGATTTTAGCGCTGCAATTAACCTTGGAGGATGCAGCCCCTTCAGGATATGTGGAATTAAATTAATTCAGGCACTGTTGCCTTAATTTATGGTACTGATGGGGGGGTGTCCAAAAATGTTAGATATGTATTGAGATTTTTTTAAACTGCATACAATTTTTAAATTGTTGAAATTCAGTCTGCAGAGAGTGAGACTTTGATAGGACAACAGGAAGGCTAAATGTGTTCCAGAAAACAGGATCGGTTTTATCTTTTTGAACTTTTAGAACGCTCAAGCTCTGATTGTCCTCCAAAAAAAACAAAAAAACACTCAAACTGTAAACATCTTGTTAGCTTGTCGGAGTTAATGCAAGTGTCTATATCCTCTTAAAAACACAAATTAAAACTATGGTCTACGGTTAATAATGATAATTTCTAACCAAGACACTTGTCTTAAAATATCAGTTTTGGAAAATCTTTAATTCTTCTTTTAATTTATCAGTAAACGGATATATTAGCTTTAAGGCCACAATGATTCACCCAAAAACCCATATAACTGAGCCCAGTAAAATAGCATTTCTCTCATTCCAAACAATCAACAGAAAAAGCATTTTTTGGTGCAACATTAAACTTCTCTTATAATTGCTTAGCATGATTTTGCTTCCACTGGTTTTGATGACGAACTCAGGTCCAGGAGACTGATCATCTCCTTGTCATGACCTTAACCTTTAACTCATCCCACGGTCCTGCTTCTTTACTAAAGGCTTCCCATCAACGTGTTGCAACACTGTGGACCTTCAGGCCAAGCTGACCTTAAGTGGGTCACCGGGGCTGCATCCCCCTGCAGTTACAATTCATTACTCGACTTCTCAAGCTCCTGTTGTACCCAGAAGTCCTCCACAAAATATGTTTTTGTGTAAAAACACATCACTTTGCTGTTATTCTGAACCCAAATTTAGTAAAAAAAAAAAAAAACTCAGTTTGAACATTAAGATATACAATATAGTCACCTAAATGAAGCTCAACAGAAATTAACCAAAGTATTTGCAGCTGAACGTTCAAATAAAAATAATTTGTCTGCCTATGCTTGATGTGCACAGAGTTTGTGTGTGATTGCAAGAGGTTTGGGTAAAACATGAGCCAAGGGAGACACTCCGAGTCACAGAGCAGATGTTTAAGTTTTAAAGCTGTCCAAATCTCCACCAACACCACAGGTTGTTTTTGGGAAAGAGGCAGAGAGAATGCAGAGGAGGAACGAGACAGAGAATAAGGATGATAAGGAGAAACTAAACATTTAAAAGAAGGAAAACATAAGATGAGGCCATAAAAAAAACTAAAAGTGAGTGAAAATAAACCGATGCGGTACCATTGGTGCGGAAGATGACATGCTGCTGTCTTTGGTGCTGCTGCTGCTGCTTACTACACTGTTTTTACTGTTGTTTCCCTGTGACTGGGTCAGAGAAACACAACACAGATTGACTTGCACTAAAGCGTTAAGCTTCAAACAGGAGTCACAGGAGCAGAGCTATAACTTGGCAGAGCTACATATTCCATAAACTACTATGACGGAGAGGAGTTATTAGATGCACCATACATTTTTCCCCCTGCTGATATGTATTATATTAGCAGCCAAAGTCCAGAATGTGATTTCCTTTAATAATCAACATTTTTGCAGACTAGAATCCTCCATTAGTATGAATAGACTTTATTTAATGCAACCTACATAATAGAAAACATATTTAAAAAAAAAGAAAAAAAATGTAGAAGAATTAGTCAGAACAGGTATTTACAAACTAACATTTTTATGTTGCCTCCACAAAGTTAACATAAAAAAAGTCTATTCTGGTTTACTGTGACAGAATAAAGACACCAACTAAACAAAACTCTAAATACTCATACAGGTTAAACTCATCTGACAGTAAGAAATAGCTACCAGTCAGAGAAAACTTCTATAAATGGGCCTGTTCAGGTCTGTGCATGCAGTGAAGGCCTTTAAAGTGGTGGAAGTGATGTGTGTTGATGTTTAGTACAGTAAGATGGTGCGACCTTTATTAACAGAGGAACATTTTTGTAAATCTTTTATACAAACATGCAAAAGAAAAAACAAACATTATCTGATAAATTTTTTATGAGAAAGAATATTTTGCAGTTTTTTTTGTTTTGTTTTTTACCAGCTATGCTAAAATAACAATTAGTAGTGATATGTAATAATGATGCATAAAAATGTAACAAAATGTATAATCGTTTTTATCCGCCGTGCCACTTAAGAACAAACCGCATCCGGTTTTGGGTCCGATCCGACAGAAAATTGTGTCGGACGAGGTTGTGGTGTTTAGCGCTCACTGAAAGCCAATGGGGATGATCACACTGATTTTCTGCAGGGGGCTTGCATAGCTCCGACTGAGATAGACCCCAGGTCGATTTTAGTCTGACTATGAAGCAATTCAGTTAAAATTTTAATGGGTCTGACATGGAGAGAGATGCGGTTACAAAGGAAAACAAATCAGCTTCGAGGGGAAAATGCTAAATAAAATCTGTTAATCGCATGGGGAAAGAGACAGTTTTGGAGTTGCACAACAAGTTTAATAGTAAGCTGGACAGACTCTTGCAAAATGAACGAAACATTAAAATAGAATACTTTACCAATGATATGAGGTCTGGAGGACAGAAAACGGATTAAGTAGTTAGCCTCTTTGAGCCTCGCAAAAAACCATCGAGGCACAGAAAGCGCAGTTTATCAATCTCGAAAAAAAATTTATTCATATTTTTTTTCCTTTAGACGCAGATCTGATCATCTTTTTTTTAATACAGTATATGAACATTCTCCATCTGTTCTGCTTTGAGATGCTGCACAGACTCGTTAAGAGGGGCTTTGCTTTATAGAATGCGTGTTGGTGTTTTGTTATTTATTTTTATAACTTTTCCTAATCTGTCCAAGTCAAATGTGGGGAATTGTTTTAATTTGTTTATAGCACAGAGACAGAAGTGGGGAAAAAAAGCTGCTCACCCTGCCTAGTTGTAACTTCTCTATATGCAAAAAAAATGGATGGAAAAAAAATTGGATGGGAGATTAAAAAGTTGTATGCAACTGGTGTGTTCAGGCCTTTAAACTATGTGTTTTGCAAAAGGGCAACCCTTTCTTTTAGAAGGTAGAAGTGTATCAGCCTCCTTAAATCATTCCAGATTACGCACGGGTTGGGTAGGTAGCTTTAGCCAACCATACACCCCATGAAATAGCACAATTTTATTAGGCTGTAGTTAAATACTGAGCCACTATTTTCTCCATCACGAGAACTAGCTTTTACTTTCTGTGTCCAGAATCTGCAAAGAAATTTTCCATTTTAGTTGTCTCAACCCACAAGTGTATACAGTTTGGCCATTAAATTTTATAATCTGCAATGAGACACACAAAAAAAAAAGGTTTGCACACGCCGTCTGCTGTAAATCACTCTGCACCTGATCTGAAGATCTGCTCTGAGCATAAAAACACATTTTCACCTGATTTAAAACAGATACTGTCACAGTGTCATACTTTTTAAGCAAACAGATCCCAGTTCAGATAAGAGCTTCCTTCTTGTTGAAAGCACGACCAATATTCCCTCGTCTTATTCAGTCGCTGACCAGGCTTCAAATTTGCTCTTTTTGTTTCACTGGAAGAAAGTTTTATCGTCTTACTTTTGAGAAGCATCTATGATGGGTTAAGTGCATTTGTGGCAGCTCTTTTTCAATTTATTTCCAAAGCAGTCACCTGTGTTCTCACACTAATGCGTCAACAGTGGAAGAGACTCAACAAAGGAACGAGGTGGAGAAAAGCGCGTCACACCCAGGCACAAAGAATACGAACCCAATCCCTCTCCTATGAACTGACTAAGGTAACCTATAGGGGCAGGAGCGATTAAAAGAGAAAAACAAGAATTAGAACGACGTTAGAAAAGAAGTTAAAAATGTTGTTGTTATCCTTGCAGCTGAGTTCATACTGCAAATTCTGGCTAGTGTAGCACCACTGCTTTAAACTATAGAAATTTTAGCAATTTTAAAATTTTACCTTCCTTGCCTTGAGGCTTAAACTGGCCTAGAAATCCTTCAACAACTGCCCATAACATTCAAGCTGCCTTTAAATACTTTGTTCCTCCATTTTGGTAAGAATAGGTTTGCTATAATAAACTGAAAATTTTGGTATGCGGCATTGTTTGAGTAAAAAGCACTGAAGGCCTTTATCGAAAATACCCCCTAACCTAACAGACCTCAGAAAAAGACGTATTAATCAAATATGCATAACTAGAACATTTTTTTATTATTATATGGAGCGGCTCAAGACAGCTGTTTTCACAGGACTGAAGGAATCCTTAGACATAAAATGCAATGATGAAACAATGGGAATGTAATAACTGGAACAAGGAAACATGGTTGCAAAGGAGTAGAAAGTTTGCAGAAGGGAAAAAAGTTCACGTCTGTGATGCTTTTGGATTTGGTCAAAAGTTTCAGTAGCAGAATCACAGGAGCAATCTGGGCATGTGCTGTTTGTCTGCAGCTAAAATGATATCATGGGACACATTTGGTGGAAGGGAGCGGTTCGTACAAATGTTGGATGTTGGAAATCCAACGGGAAAAGAGTAGACAAAATAAAAACAGATACTGGAAGCTCATTTTCCCAAAAGGAAAGAAATAAAGAGCAAGCAGGAAAACCAGACAGGAGAAGAACTATAACGAAGAGACGGAAAAAAGAAGGAAAAAAAAAAAAACAACAGAGGCGATCTCACCATCAAACAAACACTTGAGCTGGACTTCCTTTTCTGACAGACAGCAATGGAAAGGAGGAGGGAAAAAAACAAGGAGTCATCGGGAAACAAGGAAAGCATCAGAAGCAGTACAAAAAGTGAAGCTGCCAAGGTCGTCTCAGAGAAAGAGGGAAAAACAATAACAGCTGCACAGGTGCAAAGATGAGACAAGGAAATACCAAAGCTGTAGGAGGAAAAATGAATAAGCTGAAAGAAACACAGTGAGTCAATAAAAGAGCTGTAACATATGTGGAGGTCTGCAAGGGGAGAGGCTGGAGCTGCTGGATGTAATGGCAGTTTTATTCATGGCGTTTCACCGCATGCACTGACGCTTACTCCCAGTCAAAAGGAGAGAGGCGTTTTCTGTAGAGTAGAAATGCTCTGGTTCCATCTTTAGCCACAAAAACTTATCAATTATAAATATATAAATTAATAAAAAAATACAAAAAAATCATTTCATAAGCTAATATCACAGATATTTTTTCAATCACAAATAAGACTCATCAGGGCAAAACTTACCTTCACACCATCCGTCTTTTTGTTTAGTAAGGTTTTGCATGCTGGAAGAAAGTAAGACAAAAGTGGTAAGAACAGGGTGAGCAGTGCAAGACAAACTGACACTATAAGGACAAACTATAGACAGGAAACAAAAAGATTCACTTCATGTTCATCCTTCCTGCAGCAGGAACGCAGTAAGGAAGATAATTATATGAAAAAGCATAACTGCTGCACCACAAAGGACCATCAGACTTATTAGGAATGGTCATTTCATATAGATGGCGCAGCAGAAAATGACGGAAACAAAATAGATTAATGAACGGTTGAAGTGCTATATTTCATTTACTTTGAAATTAAATTACTTTTAAATTGTTTTATTTATTTTTTTACTTTATGAACAATTTTATTAAATTTTATTTATTCTTAGTGTATTTTTTTAATATTAACATACTTGTTTTGCTACAGGAGACAGGATCAGTCTCAAAGTTTATTTCTATGCAATTTTTCAATTAAAATACAGCAGTCCTTTTTTACTCAGTTAAAAATAATAGTTAAATAAAATAGCACCTTTTTAATCAATTTTTTAAATAAGACTTTTCCATATGTGTTTATTTTTGTAATCATAACTCTTTATTTTAACATTTTAAGCAAACAAAAGGGTAAGATTGTTTTGATCTGATCAGTTTCACTATCTTATAAAAATAAAGGTCTTTCTAGATTACAGAAAGAAAAAATATAGACAAAGGCATTTATTTAGATAAAGACAGAGATTTCTAGCCGGGTTTTTTCCTTTTTAAGTAATTGTAGTTTTAATTTTTTTTTTTACCACATGTTTGAAATTGAAACAGCAGTGACCACTTTAAGTCAATTTGAAAAAATTAAATAAAATGTCAACTTGAAAAACAGGTAGATATGCACATTTTAACCCTATTTTGACTCAAGTTATTTCAGTTCAGGGGGAAAAAAAATCAAACTTAAGCAGATGTGCTGATAGCTCTTTAAGATAAATGACAACCATACCAACATGGAGCTAAATAAAATGTTTAACAGTCCACAAATAAATAATAAAAAAACAATATCCATGTTCATCCCCTCCCAGTGAGCCACCCTTACCTTCCATTTGAAAATAGAAAAGGAGAGCAAAGAAGAAGTCAAGAGAACATTGACGCGTTTAATATCTTAAAATCTTAACTGAAAACAAAGACAACTGCAGGGATGAAGAGTCAGGCTTTCACTTCAAGTTCAAAAGCTTCCTGAGATCATTTTCATTCAAGTGGTTGGCTCATGCAGCACGGCATGCAGCATCCACTTCAAAGTCCTCATCCTAAACGCTGCAGAGGAACCAAGTCTCTGAAGCGCCTTTAATTTCAACATGAATATGTCCCTGACTCAGAACCAGTGAGTGAGCTCAAATATTCAACAAAGGAGCGTGGAAAACTCATCAGGGCCAATGATGGAAGCATCCTGTTATAAACCTGTTTTTGTTCTTAAGCCTGATGCTCAGCTTCAGACATTTCAAACATGTTCTAAGGTTTATTAGAAACGATAAAACGTGCTAATTAACAAGCTGAAGGAGGTTTTAACTAACAAGTTTATCAATAAATGCAATAATTAAAGTTACATTAAAAAAATTCATGATTTTTGATTTACTGGAGCATTTTTTTTTTTGCTCTAACTTATTAAATATATCATATATATCATATATTCAACGAATTAGAATTACTGTACATTTAATTTATCTCAGTAACTCTGTTCAATTAGTGAAACATTTACATAGAAAAATTACCCTTCGACTGATGTTCTACTTTATTCCTGTTAGCCATGATGATTTTCCATTACAGCTAATTAATTGGAGACCAAAAAAAACACAAGGCCAGTTTAAAATCAAATTCTAATACAATAATGTTGCCTTAATAAAAAGCATTTTTAATCTGACAAACAGGCCTCTTCTAAACTGAAAATGACTGTAGGATTATTCTGAAACTACATGAACATGGATACAATTGGACCGTTTTCAGAGGATTTTTGAGTTTCATTTCTCAGAATTTTTCATTCTAAATTTTGAACTGAAAAAGCTTCCTGGATGGGAAGTGAAATGTCTTCAAACTTAGAAACAAAGACCAGTGGATTGTTTTTTTTTTTTTTTACTTTTTTGGAATTCATTCTAAAGACATAAAAATCCAGATTGATGATTAGTTCAGTGTTTCCTCCACACACAAAAATAAACTTAGCAGATAAACTATTTTATACGGAATCATCCTTAACTTTATTACCAGGTTAACATTTTTTTTTCTTTGGGTTTCTTTATTCTAATGAGTCAAATCTACCAAATAGAAACAATGTTAGCTTTTTTGGGATCAGCACTCAATCCTGTTTTATCTAACATTTTTCTTTTATCTGTTATTAAATGTAAAAGTGGAAAAATGTCAGGGATCACAACAAGCATGAGGTAGATTCATACACTTCTGTTGTTAACCATATTTATTCTTTTCTTAAGGTAGAAAAGTAAAAGTTAGGTTAAGCCGCTAATTTCAATGCCTTTTACTTAGTGACAGCACAACACAACGCAGTGCATAATTATTAAGTGTAAAGAAAGATTTTTTCTTATAGATAGAAAATTAAACTTTTTAATATTATGGTTTGATAAAGAAGCAATACTACGAGTTTTGGAGCCAACGTCTGCTGTCAACCTGAAATTGATCTCTGGAAGAGATCCAAAGATTAACAATACATTTGGGGGAATCTGGCAAGGAAAAAAAAAAAGTCCTCTGCAAAAACAAAAATGTAGTTGGCACAGAAAACATGGAAAGGAAAATTTTAACTTAACATCACACCCTGAACGATCAAAACCAGGAGGAAACTTGGTGGTAGCAGCATCATACAGTAGGGAGGGTTTTTTTATATATGAAACTTTGGTTAAAACTTTAAATGAATTTTCATACATGATCTCCAACTTACTTGACAAGCGTTAAGTTAATATACCACAATTTCAGTCTGCATGCGAGTAATTATAAAGATGTTAATATAAGAACTCTGACTTTAATAAATCATTTTTTTTTTCAGAAATCTGAAATTTTCAGGGAATTCAGGATATGAATTTGTGAGACTAACATTACAACTCTGTAAAAAAATGTCATATGATTAAATGGTAGAATTCTGGAAAAAAGCTGAATTCTGGAAGAAATGCCCAGAATCCTAAGATTTAAGTTAAAGTTCTGAGAAAAGGCGTCAGAATTCTGGAGTGATAGCAAGAACCAAACATGGTATGTGGGATGCCAGTTTAAAAAAAATGGTATATGCCAGTTGGGAACCGGCTTATGCCAGTCGAAACTAGTTTAAGCCAGTTAGGAACCAGCTTAAGCCAGTTGAAAGCTGGTTTATGCCAGTTAGGAACCGGCTTATGCCAGTTGAAAACTGGTTTATGCCACATAGGAACCGGCCTATGCCAGTTAGAAAGATTACCAGCTGGCATATGCCAGTTGGTAATAGGCATTTGTGAGTTGGAAACTGGTATATTCCAGTTGAAAAATGGCAAATGCCAGTTTTGTCAAAGGACCTACATGGGCGCTCAATATCCTAATTTGGTTTTATTGACAATATATTTTTGCAATAATATAATTTACCTTCCATATAAACCAGTTTCCAACTGGTTTATATGCTTTATATCATATGTCATATGATAAATATGGAATCTTACTTTTTCCCAGTACTTTTTTCCCCTTCAATGGTTCTAATTCTCTTCTGTACAAAAAGCATGCCAAACGTTTATCATTTCTTATTTTTATTTTTTTTTTTAAGTCTAAAAATAAAAATGTACTTTCCACTGCATAATTATGCATCACTTGTTGCGGTTCTACTCCTGTTAGGTCATTTCCTTTTCTTTAGCATCACTCAGGGATTCCTAAATCACAACTTCCTGCCAGGACTCTCCGGCGATGACAGAAGCGCTTTGTTTAAAGCTCAATAACTCTGCAACGCTGCTTTTGATTTAGTCAGTTAAACAAAAACAAGAGAGCAGGCAGAAGAGCAGAAACAACAAGAAAAATAGTTAACGAGGGAAAATTTGCATTCTGTTCATCCAGTTTTCCATGCAGGATATCAAACTGAAATCTTCACTTGGAAACATGCTTGGCTGGCTGTTAGAGCCAGGGCCATGCTGAGGGAAGGTGGCAGCGAGCAGGCAGGCTTCAGTTCACAAAGGAGGCAAAACTGCTCAGATTATTATTCATGTTTGAAATATAAAGGCTTTACTGTGTTACACTGCAGAGAAAAAAGAGCAGCAGCAGCATCCCTTATGCAAATGCAGCGCTGCACTAAGACAGCTTTGATCGGCGGCAGCTGAAAGGAGGTCAGAAAGTCATGCTGGGGGTTCAGGTAAAAGACTGCTACATTCTGTGCAGGAAATCAAACAGTCTGACCTGGGAGGGAGGCGTGCTCATTAGAGCATTAAGAGCGCAGCAACCAGGCCAAAAGGTCAAAAACCGAGATTCAGCTACACTTTCCATCTATGAGCTTGTGTGCAAGTGCCGCCTCTGTGCAGTGATGACCATTTTTTAAAGTGGTGCATCAGTGTGTAGGCGGCAGGTGGAGGCAAGGAGAGGAGAGAGGTTCAAGCAGCACGAGCCACATGCCAACAGCCCGAAAACAGAGTGGAACGTGCCCCCCGTAGGACACTCGCTTCAAGCAGACATACCTTCCTGAGCCATTGCGGCCGTACTGGTGGTAGCAGCGGGGCTGGTGTGCTGCCGTCCCACTATTGGACAGAGAGGGGTTAAGTTTGGCCATTCCTCAAGTTAAAGTTGTGCTCAGAAGTTTACAAACCCAGGCAAAATGACAAATTTTCTCCCCATAATTAAGGGAACATAAATAGTTGGTGCTTAGGTGAAGCTGTTAAAAATGAAACAATAAAAACAAGGTACCCAGAGGCCCCCGATCAAACGTTTACATCAGCGCGTTCTTGTTCTAATATTGTGCATTCAATGACAGACATGGTAAAACCTATTCTTCAAGCAAAAAGCCTCAAGTTACCATTTTGCATAAGATTTATGATCTTAAAGTCAGGAGGCTGGGATGACCTCTTCAAAATTTTTTCCATCTGGGTCTAGACATTCAGGTCATCATTATGTTGGAACGTCCACGTGGATCACGTCTGCATTTTTCCGACAATATTTTTCCCTTCATCTCTTCACCAATTTTATCAAGTCTTTGTAGCTCTCTTATGTCCAAACCATCAACAATCCAACTCATCTGGACTGCTTGGGATGGTCAATACAGTTAATCTCTCCAAATAACTTCTTACACAAGATTTGTTCTTTGTGTGTGTGCCATCTGTCGACTAAAGCAGGCGACCCCTTTTTCTTCATGTGTCCCCCTATAATCGGTCTTAAAACACCCTGGCATCCTGGCAGGTATGACCTTTGATTGTCCAATATCTTCAAAATTACGTAAACAGCCAATCACGGTTGATTTGAGGAGTTTGAACACATATCCACTGAATTAACAATGCGACTACCAGTAGTTTCCCTTTTTTATGCATCAAAAGTAAGGCCTAGAGATAATTCTAGATGAAAACATGCAGGTACTGTAAACTTTTAAGCAGAGCTACTAGGACACTTTTTTATCTCAACTTGTGAGCAAAACTCTCACTTGCTAGCATAATGTGTTTCAATGTATAGAGCCACTTACTGAATATTGAATTTTAAACATTTTAGCTAGATGTTCACTAAAAGTTAACGGCCTTTCATTTAAGTGAAGTAGCTGATGTCGAATCTCCACTCTAAGACACTCAGACGACAAATTGCATTATCTGATCATTAAATTTGTGAAAAAGCTCTGAGTGATGTGGAAACACATTCAGTCTGTTTCCTTCAGTCCACATCAGTGGTTGACAGTAATCCACTTGAACAGGGTTGCTTACATGAAAGCATGTAAACACAGAGCCAATAGTATTAACGGCTCGGCCTGCTAGGCCATCATCCGGCCCACAAATTGGATGTTCAAACACAAGCGGCATGAGCTCTCAGTGATCAAACTGCTTACCACGATAAAATCATAGAGTGCGTCCAAAAGTGCAAAACTGAAACCAGGCCATTAAAGGAAGTAGAGAGCAGAGGAGTAACAGCAGCAGAGCAGCTCTGATGTGTGTTTGCTGTGTACACTCAATGGAAAGTTTGGAGACATTTCAATGTATGTTTCACTTTAAAACAATTTCAGAAGCTGACCTGAAAAGTTCCTGGAAACCAGCATTGTTGTGATAATTGCTCCCTGAAGACAGGACCAAAAAAAAAAAACAACAACATGTCATTATATAATAATCATACAGGTGTTTGTTTTTTATCTTAATCTTAAGAACCTCTAATCGTGTCACCACGCACCTTAAGTTTTCTCCTGGCGTTGAACTTGCGCAGGCATTCAACAGTCTCTTGACGATGCATCATGGAGGCAACAGTGGAGCGTTGCTGCAGATACAACAGACGCATTATTTCACATTTATAAACCATCAGCAAAAAAAGATAAATACTATAAAAAATGTTGTGGGGAAATTATCAGACAATGTTCTTTGTAAATAAATTCAATAATTTAAAAAAATGTATAAATACTGTATTTTCCAGACTATAAGCAAATACTTTTTTCCCACGCTTTCAACCATGCGGCTTAGAAGAAGGTGCAGTGTTCTGTAAGATTATCATACCCCGTCAGACCAGCAAAACCATAGTCAATAAGCATACGCAAGACATCAGATTTGCGTTTATCCCTTTAGTTTTGTAGAAAAAATAGACTTTAAACTACCTCAGTGGGCGTGGATCCCTTTAGTCATGTACAAAAAAAATATTTAGGGTGAGATTGCCATACGCCTCAAAGAACTCCATAAATTAAAGGGATAAACTAAAGGGAATAACAGGTATTGACTATGAGTATGCTCATCTGACAGAACAGCGGCTTTTCTGTGGATTTTTCATAACCGCCAGAGGGGGAAGTCAAAGGTGGAAATGAAAGAATAAGGGACTAGCAGCTGACACGACGGAGAACAAATATCCCAAACTCACACATTTTGACATTTATTTGCCGCATTAAAGCTGCCGAACCAATACAGAGACTGGGATCAACTCCTACAGAGCTGAAATAAAGAACTGACGAAGCCCCATCTTTCATTAGAAGCTCTATTGCTGCGAGTCAAAAACCTAACAGGAGGTGGGGGACAATTCAGTAGATATCACAGGCGTATAGCCCGTTGTGGTATGATCCCAGTAAAAAAAAAAAAAAAAGACATTGTGGGCGTGGCTTATAGTGAGGAAAATTAGTCCGGAAAATAAGGTAGCTAGTATGGCTGCATGCTGCCATTTTTTTACTTTTCATCAATTAGCTCATTTTAAGTCGTTTTAATCTATCTGCTCACTGTTATCAAGGACAAAATTGCTTAGTGACCTACAGTACGTGGACTGAGGTCATACGATAACAGCAATACATGTTTTTGAAGGACAAAGATATAAGTAATAGATAAGGAATGGGCTGGAGAACGTAACCTTGAGAAATTCCACGTTATTTGTTTTTGCTGAGATCTAGAATACCTACAGAAGGTAACTCAAAGCAGTCATAATGGAATAAAATAAGATGGGAATCAATCTTTCACATTACAATCCAATCCAATACAGTTTTCAGTCCTCATTCAGTACTTTACATTTACCTCAGCACTGAGCTCCAATAAAAATATGTCTTATAACAATCTTTATTAATGTAGTTGATGTGTTGTGGTATAGTGGAGAAATTAACCTGAAATAGTTAAAAAGTTTAAATTCGTTAAAACACAAGTTTTTTTCCTTATCCAGAGTTGACAACAGGGCAGTGAGTAGGGGTATGTAAGGCTTATTATTTCATTTATAGTTTTAATGAGAAACACATAAAGTAGATGACAAGTGAGCAAAGGTCCAAAGGTCCTTCCACCGTTGTGATAAGAAAAGAGCAAGATTCTGACTTACGCAGACCCAGGGATGCTTGAGGGCCTGGTCAGCAGTGATTCTTTTGGCAGGGTTAATAGTTAACATCTGATTGATCAGATTCTTGGCTTCTGGGGTCACAGTGTCCCACTCAGGGGAAGGAAACTGAAGAGAGATGAAAATAAAAATGTAATTAATGGAACTATCCTTTAAAATCAGATTTTTACTAGTGACATCCTTTAGTATGATCCTAAAAATTTGTAAAGAAACAAACAAAAAAAATCATGATTTGTCAAAATAAAGTTTTGTCATATTCAATATCATAAAAAAGGTTTTTGCACTTAACATTACGTAAAAGGTCACAAATAAATTGCATATGTAAATACTAACAGCATGTATCGCAGGTTAACAAGGTTACATTTAATATTTTCTTCTTTAAAGTAAAGAAAAAAACAAATAAACATGGATTTTAGACAAGGCAAGTTTATCTGTATAGCACAAGTGTTGTACATGCATTTGACAATAAAATATAAAAATTAAAAGCAGAATATAAGTAAATAATGATTAAAACATAAAAGCAGGCAGAAAAAAAAATAAACAGTTAAATCACAATCTTAAACTAATAATATCTCAGTTAACAGTTAAAAGGCAGCTTTAAACAAATGTGTTTTTAACTTCAACTGAAAAGAACTCAGGCTTTCAGCACTTTTACAGTCTTCTGTGAAATTGTTCCAGAAAAATGGAGCATAAGAACTAAATGCTGCTTCTCCATGTTTGGTTCTAGTCCTGGTTGTACAGAGCATGTTTGAACTAGAAGACCCGAGTGGTCTGGGAGGCTGATACACTGAAAACAAATCTGTAACGTATTGAGGTGCTGATCCATTCAGTGATTCATAGACCAACAGAAGGAATATTCTCTGAGCTAAAGGAAACCAGTTGTAGGACTTCAGAACCGGGCTGAAGTGCTCTACTTTCTTAGTTGTAGTGAGAACACAGGCAGCATTATTTTAGATCAGCTGCAGCTGTCTGATGGTCAAACCTGCAAAGGCACTGTTGCAGTGATCAATTCTACTAAAGATAAATGCATGAATAAGTTTCTTTAAATCCTGTCCAGACATTAGTTATTTAATCCTGGAAATGTTGATTAGAGGCTGACTAAGTAACTGCCTTTTTGTGCCCCTGAAGGCTCAGGTCTGAGTCCATTGAGTCACCAAGATTTTGGCCATGATAAGAGGTTTCTAGCTGTAGTAGCTAAACTCTAGATCTCTTTGTTCTATGGATGAAGCCAACAATGGGTTCTGATGGGTTCATAGTCTCCTGGTGACATTGTGATGTAAAGCTGTCTGTTGTCTGCATAGTTATGGTAACTGATCTTGTTGTTTGCTATAACCTGAGCCAAGGGGAACATGTAGATGTGTGAGTTCCCTACTGACACATAGACGTACCTATCCTTCAGATAGGATTTAAACCAGTCCAGCGAGGTACCAGAAAGGCTGACCCAGTTTTCCAGATGCTCTAATAAAATCGAGTGATCTCAACAAATCCCACAAATTCGTAAACAAGATGGCAACTCAACTATTGATCCAGAAGAAATTAAGGACATGATTGCCTCATTTTACTCAAATCTGTATACTTCAGAGATGGACTTTTGAGGTCTTTAAACATTCAGAAACATGGCACGAACAGGGCCTTGTACTTGGACAGCCAGATATTCAAAAGATTCAAACTCATCCAGGATACACAGTGAATCATTCAACAAAGTAACGAGTACTGCTCCTTTTCAATTAGTCTGCTCTGATGGAGAAAATTTTAATAGGGAGTTTTAGTCTCCCAGAAAATTCCTTTGGCTAAAAGATAAGAATGTAAAAAGTAAGAAAAATTTAAGGAAGTGGGGCGTGAGGCAGAAGAAGGAGCAGGTTTTAGCAGGCCTGTTTGTTTTTAACGACCAATTTCTACATTACAAATCATCAGTGAACATCCTTTTAGCAGACTTAAATAAGTTGATTAAAATCCCAATAAAATAATAATAAAAAAGGTTCTAATAGTTTTGTTTTTACGTTTTTATTAGTGACAAAATATATAGTTAACCAAAATAAAAGCTATCTTCATGGAAGCAATGGTATTCAAGATGTGCAAATTAGTCTTATGCCTAATCACCAGATGTGGTTGCTTCAGACTCTGAAAATTAACATGGGTAATAAGTTCTCATCACCCACAGGATATGATCTAATAAATATGTTTATCACTCTCTGACAAAGCATTTCTTTTCGCTATAGTAACAGAAAAAATTCTGCAGTAAAAAGCAGTGAGTTTCAGATTACTTAGATCATTACATTAAAAAAAATGAAATGAAGATCAGGTTTTGTGGTTCATGTTTCATGCACAGGGGTGGAACATAAACAGGCTTTATGGGATCTGCTTAATAGCACTTTTGAATTCAGACATTTGAATTTCAAAAAAGGCTAGCAGTCATAAAGAAGTTTATAAATATGTAATTAAATCTATGTGGAACAATATGTTCCTTTTGGCACTGCTGAGAGAACACTCAGAGGGTAAATAGCCTATCTAATTCATGAAACCCCAAAACTATCAACTCAGACATATATGTATATGTTGACGTGTTTGAGTCAAATCTTAACCACAAGGTTTGCAAAAGTATCAGGATTGTTAAAATTAGGCAATTTGCATCCATGTGTGGAAGCAACACGTCAAAGAAGGGAATGCATGAATGGAAAAGCTGTGAGAAAAGAGTTTTGGGGATAAAATCTGTCTCAGTTTTGCATAGATTAAATTTGATCCATTTAATAATGAGATACTCTAGACTTTTATTCAGAAACACGTTTAGCCTAATGATTTGATCTTGAAGGTTAATCCTCTTGTTAACATATTCTCTTGACAGTCATTTTTTTGTTAAAGCAAAGAGCATATGCCACTAACGATGTAAAAGAGGCAGAGCCTGGATAAGGCATGTCAAAGAAACAACAGCAACAATGAGGTTAAAGCAGCCATGTTTTTAAAAATGGAATAGGCAGGTGAAGATTTTTCAGTCATTCAGGTCATAGTCATTGCCCCCTTACAGAGGCATAGACCAGTATCGGGTATTGCAGGTTAACGACTCTCCATTCCTAAGGGGCGGACCCATTCTTCCGGTTCAATTTACAACTCAATGCTTATTCTGACATTTTGAATTGAAAAAGCTTCGTGAAAGAGTAGCACAACATCTTTTAACTTGGAAACAAACTTCAGTGGATTGTTTTCTTTTTTTTAACTTTTTTGGAATAAAAATGGAATAGTCTCAGATTTGGACTCATCTTAGGCAAAGAGCTCCAAAAGGTATTTTCATGCCTACCTCCTACACAATTTGTCATGTGTATGAGCCTGGACCTTTAGCAGAGTTCCTGCTGTTCTGTCTCCATTTTAGAATGTAAAATGCTAAGGTTCACAATTAAATTTAGGTACATGAGAAGAAGACTTCAAATTTGTTACAAGCAAAATCAAACTATTTAATGGAAGTAATGAGGACCAAAGAACAAAACTAAAAGGAAGGACAGGAGGAGAAGACGGGCAGGAAACAAGAGAGAAAATATGCAAGGAAACGGGGCGATGAGGACACAAAAGAGGGAAGACTCTGGGAAGGAAAGATGAAAAGGAGGGAGAGAATGATGAAGGGACACAAGGAAG